TCTGTGGCCAAAGAACAGACCAACAACTGTTAGCGTTGCGGATGTGGCCGTAGTGGTGGCAGTATCAGCAGCCGCTTCTGTCTTTGTGGTGGTGGAGCTGTCGCTGTCGTCTAGTTCGTCCTTCTTCTGTTGACGAGTACGGCTGCGGAACTTCGACCTTCCCATATATATATATATATATATATATATATATATTTTTTTTTTAATTTTACAAAATATAGCTAGACATACACAAACACATACCCATACCCATCCGCATCCGCTTGCACATACTATCACACACGCACACAGAGACATACAAACACATACATGTACGTTTTTGGTGTGTGTGTGCGTGTGTGACCGACAGTGCTACGGACTGCCAAGCCCCGCACAGCAAGCAGGCGGCCTGGGCTCACGGAGCACGTTGGGCTTTCAGAGGTTTGGGAGAGATCTCTTCCTTTGTGGCCCTTCGGTCCTGCATTCGTGGAGCTTGGGGGTTGGTGCATCTTGCCGGGAGACTAAAACCTTTTCACATAATTTGATGCAGCCTGTCTTGCGCTTTGTTTCGCAGCTTCCAAAGACTTCCTAGTGAGATAAATCTTCTGCTGGGGTGCCGTGAAGAGACAAAGAGCTGGCAAAGCAAAAGGACAAGTCGTAGCAGTTCGGTCTGTTGATTCTTGACACAGACGCACGAGATTCACGAGATGCACTGCACAAGTCCACCCGCGAGAATGGCGTGATATCCGCTGCTACATCGCTAGACATCGTCTGCCAGGCGGCTGCATGGTATCGCCGTAGCCGGCGGAGTCGCGGCTGTCGCAAAGCCACTGCCATGCTCCGCATGCTCCAGGTCAGTGTCTTCAGCTGGTTCGACAGGTTCAGCACCACCCTCCGAGAGCTCTTCCTGCTCTGCAGGCTCCTGAAAGGCAGGGACCGACTCTGCAAATGCTTCTGCTGGACCCCGAGACAATCTGGGGCAAGGTTTCTGCATAGAGCCGGAATGGAACAGTGGCATGGGCAAGGCAGCGGCTCCTCTCTTTCATGTTCATGGTGTCCGGTATGCTGTTGCGTGGCTGGGGTAGAAGCCGACACCTTTTCGCAGAATACCCACATGGCCTCGTAGCCTCACCTTTTCAGCTTCAGATGTCGCTTAATGTCGTCCCGACTTCGGATGGAGCCTGGCTCAGCTCTGCTTGGATCTTCGGGTCGATGAGATCGGGCTCGGCAGGCTCGCTGCTCTGCTGAGTCTGCTCCTCTACTTTTTGGACCCCAACCACACTGTGCTTAAGCTGCCGTTCTTGTGGGTCGATGGCTCTGCAAGATATCGGGGCAAGGTCGCGGAATCTTGCCTGATGTTCAGAGTAGCACCGAGAAAGACTTGGCTCCTCCAGAATCTTCAGTAAGTGCAGGAGGACCTGTTCAGGCGAAAGCGGTTGCAGGACTGTGTGCACACGAAGGTACGAAGGATCCGCACATATCAATTTTGCGAGTTTGGCCTGGTAGCCCTCACGCACACCATCCAAGTAGCAGCTGTCCTGTTACAAGTTGCACACTTGAACAAAGGCAGGCCTCTGGTATTTTCGGGAGTGCCTTGAGTCATTCCGAGAAAGAAGGATGCGCACGTGTTTCTTAGCCAACAAGATTCGGTCAACAGCTCAACTTGTGCATCCTGCCAAAACTCACTACACGCAGCACGGTAAAGCTGGAGTTGCATTGCCTACACATCGACACGCTGGCTATCCCTCACCGGACGGCATCCTCGTCGAGCTCCCCCTCCTTCGTCCTCAGAGCAATCCAAACAAGGACTTCCGCCTTCTAATCTACAACCACAACAGAGTCACAGCGACTTAGAGTAGTGCTTCTTTCTGTACTGCCGAGCTGCATTTGGCATCGAGCGAACCCCAGCAGCTGCACGTCGAAGCCCTTCTCCTATGAAGCGGCTGAAGCTGTGGAGAGAGACCGGGGTCGGGGTCGGGGGAGAACAACTCCAAGAACGTCGGGAAGCAGCAGATGCACGACGATGGGACGAGCAAGTCATGACGCGTGGCAATCAGCACTGCCAGAGCAAGGAGAGTCCTGAAAGCGCCGAGCATTGCAGACGGAGCCTGTGAACAGGGGATCTGGTCACGCCAGAGAACCTGATTTTACTATAGTCACGAGCTGTCGCTAACAGCAACTCCCTCTCAACCTGTTCAAAGTAAGCCCCTGCCAGACATGTCAGCTGGCGCGATAAGACGGATACTCTGCAAAAACCATGCCCTACACTCCCCGCGCCGTTCACCACGAAGTGTCGGAAACGAGGCGGAACGGGAGGTGTGTCCGTCTGGCAGTATGCTGCCCACCTTGGGACACAGGACCGGGATCGAAGGGTGAGCTATCACCTAGAGCCAGTCTATGGCACTGGTATCCTTTGAGAACTACGGTACACTTTCATCATGCCAGTCAAGAGGCAATGCATCCTGTAGCGCCATGCGCCCCACGGAATCTGATCAGGGGCTGCACGTGAATGTTACAATGCAAACTCCAGAACCAGGTGTCCGATGAACGTCGATCGGATGCGTCTCAAAGACAACAGACAAGAACTAACGATAAACATATCAACCCAAGTACCACAATAAAGTAAACCCAATGCCATGTGCAAGCAGCAGCAGCAGCAGCAGCAGCAGAACCAGCAGAACCAGCAGAAGTAGCAGCAACAGCAGCCGCACCACCACAAATATCAATAGCGGCAACAGCATCAGCAGCCTTGGTGCAGGTGGTGGTGGTAGCACTAGTAGTCGTCGGAGTAGTAGTCGTAGTGGTAGTAGTAGTAGCAGCAGCAGTAGGCAGTGGCAGTGGCAGTGGCGGTGGCGGTGGCGGTGGCGGTGGCGGTGGCAGTGGGTGGCAGTGGGTGGCAGTGGCGGTGGCAGTGGCGGTGGCAGTGGCAGCAGTGGCAGTAGTAGTAGCAGATGCGGCAGCAGCAGTAGTAGCAGAAGCGGTGGTAGTAGTAGTTCTAGTAGTAGTAGTAGTAGTAGTAGTAGTAGTAGTAGTAGTAGTAGTAGTAGTAGTAGTAGTAGCAGTAGCAGTAGTAGTAGTAGTAGCAGCAGCAGCAGTAGTAGTAGTAGTAGTAGTAGTAGTAGTAGTAGTTACTATTAGTAGTCGTAGGAGTAGTAGTAGAAGAAGAAAGAAGTAGTAGTGGTGGTAGTACTGGTGGTAGTGGTAGTCGTGTGGTAGTGTGGAGTAGTAGAATACATAGAGTATAGTGGAGTATAGTATGGCCTCGTATCGTGTATTGTAGTGGCAATAGCAGCAGCAGGGGGATGAAGAGCAGGAGGAGGACTGGGAGATGACGATGATGCTGATGACGATGTTGAGTGGAGGTGACGATGGCGGCGTCTTGACATACCTTGCTGCTATAAGTACCTGCGGGAGGGTCGAACCTTCGAACAACTCGATATGAAGGGTTTAAGTATAATTGTACTCGAACGTAAACTTTGCGAGGAATAATTGCACACCTTTCGGACACGACATCAACGACAGTGCGGCCGCAACGCTGCCGCTTGTCAGGAGGCCCTCAAAGTCTTGAGCCATCTCGAGGACCGGGGAGCCACCTGGGAACGTCGCTCTTTCTCTTACAGCTCTTTCCTTTGCTTGTTTCAAGCTGATGGGTGAGGCTAACCTTCAAAGTTTTGGGCCTTGGTCAGCGTCTGGAAAACAAGGCTGCGACGAAATTGGCAATAAGAGTTCTCTCGTAGACTGGGCAAAGAATCGCTCGAATTGGAATCTTTCTGTACCCCAGCATTGGAGTCGGCGATGGAACGTCTCACAAAATGCACATCGCATGTCTCTAAGGCGCGCTGCTCACTGACGCGATAACTGAAGCGATGCCGGGACATCTCATGTCGACGGAGGACCGGCTGAATGGCGGTGCACATGGCTGGGCCATCACAGTTCCAAGCGCACAGCATTTGGCAATGATGCTGTGCAACCTACATCGCTGGCGGTGCTTGTCGCACGCATTTCAACAAATAAAGCAAGACAGCAACTAATCCAAACGCGAAAATCTTCTTTCCAGCCCATGTTGACATCGCCACACGTGCAAGTCTGACCGCCCCTTTTTTGATCCACGGCGACCCCTTGGGCGAAACAAACTGTCACGTGTCGGAATTAGAACTGCAACGAGCCAGAAGCCTGTCATTCACATGCGCAGGTTGCCGACCTCATACATCCAATGCCGATCATCTTCCCCAAAATGTCTTGGAATGTCACCTGCAAGATTTTGACATATCATTCAACAATACACCTTATATAAATGTATGATATATGGCATCGCTGACTAGACATCTTGTAATCTTTGACCCCGCGCCTGGAGTCCCTCAACCCGATGCCGCAAAACCCAAATTCCACTCAGTAGAACCGGCTTCAAATCATGCAGACCTAAACCCATGCACTTGTGTATGCATCTTCACCCCGAACCATGAAAGATGAACTTTGATGAGCTAGAACCCCAGAAGCCCAGCACCCCGAGCCATGTCAAACCCCTGAACGATGTTTCAATGGCTGTCGGGTTCCCGTATCTGCCGAGCACTTGCCAAAGCTGGCAGACTTCGCTCCCTGTGTTCGCCACTGTGCGGTGTCCTTCACAAGAAAAAATTCCAACATCGACCGACAAACTGCAAGGCAAGAGAGTGCAATCGGCTCGCATACCATGACACTACCTGCTTCTGTGCGGTCAAGCTGACATACACCAAGCAATGCGTATCGGTGCGGGCCTGGACACTGCTGCACGTCCGACTTAGGCTGCCATGCTCGAAGCCGACCAATGAAGGGATCTTTGGCTGAACGTTGAATTGGCCTCCTTGCTGTTGTGAGCTTCTTGTTGTCCTCGTAGGTTGTCCTCCAAAAAACACAGCGACCACAAGGACAAACAAACGCTTGAACGGGAATGTGCTTGTTGATCGTGTGGTTGATGTTGTCGTTTGCATATTGTTCTTGTCGTTGCAACCCAAAAGATAGCTTGATGTTTACAAGCTTGATGTTTACATGCTTGCTAAAGCCACACATGCAGCCCGGCTGACACCACGTCGCCTCCACCTCCCCTGTGCCCTCCCCTCCCTCTCGGGTCCGCTCCGGTCCTCTCCTTCTTTCTCCTCCTTCTCCTGTCCTCCCCACCAAACCGACCGACCGACGCCCCCGGGCCTACACGAACTCCACCTGCACGCACCTTTTTTTGCGAGGTTCGAAGCGACTGGTGACTGCTTTCTTGCATCATCTTCACCCCACTCCTGCACGAGCACGGAAGGGCAGTGCTCCGCTTTCAACTTGGCAAACCAGCCTTGGTCTGCCCAAGGCACGGTCATGAAACATCCACAAGTAAAACCGAAATACTGAGTCAACAAACACAAGAAAAGTGGTAGTAGTAAGCAGTAGTACTAGTAGTAGCAAAGACGATCCCTGGCCCCCCGAGCGGGAGCACCAGCCTTCGTCCGTGCCAGCCTTCAAAAGTCTACCCTAAACCCTAAAACCCAAACCCTAAACCTACTAGTAGTAGTAGTAGTAGTAGTAGTAGTAGTAGTAGTAGTAGTAGTAATAGTAGTAGTAGTAGTAGTACTACTACTAATTACTACTATTACTACTACCACCACCACGACCACCGCCGCCACCACGACTACTACTACTGATTATTATTATAATTGCCACTATTGCTAATTCCCAAATACTACTATTACTCCTAGTAGTAGCAGCAGCAGTCGCTTGGGGGTTCCAAGTGGCTTCGAAAAGTAACTGGCTTAATGTAGCGGCTAAGGACAGCGCAAGCCTTCCAGCTCCTTCTGTGGGGCCTGCGTAGTGCGAAATTTGCACCGTGCACCACTGAAGCCTGCGGCGACTCTGTCATGGTATCGGGCCACCGTCGGGTATGAGTTTCTTAGCGGCGTGGCTGCGGCAGCCACTGAGAAGCGTGCAGTGTGCCCACTGTTGCAGCCGAGACCGGCAGAGAGCTGCAGCCGCAAGCGCCATAAAGAGGATTGCAGGTGCGATGATCGCCAAAGAAATGGTTTGGAGGCGAGCGGTCTGAGGGCGTTTCGTTCAAGGGCTTGCCGATAGACTCGGGAGGAATGGTCTACCACGGTGGGCGCCGATCCTAATCCTTGAGCCAGCCCTCCTCTAAGGAGCACAGCATTACGCTCGTGAGCAGTATGGTTCGGGCAACATGCCTGGATGATGATAATGTTGCTGATGATGACGACGACGATGATGGCGGTGACGATGATCACGGTGTCGATGGTGGTGTTGATGGTGCAGCGGGTGATGCTGGTGCTGACACTGACGGTGGCGAAAATGAAGTTGGAGATGACGATCACGATAGCCACACCGATAACGATGACGATAACAATGCCGATCAGGAAATCCACGGTGGTGAACATGGTGATTGCACTGATAAAGATAATGGCAACCGCAACGACAGTGATAATGGCACTGGTCATGACAATGGCCATGACAATGGACGGGACTATGACCAGGACAACGTTAACGTTTATGATACTGATGATGATGAATGACGACAGTGATTCTGCATGTGAAATTCGTAGTGATACTGACAGTGACAGTTACAACAGTGCTGATAGTGATAAGGATAACGATAAGGGGTAATGATGATGGTGATGGTGGCAATGGTAGTGATCATGGTAGCGATAGTGCCAAAGATAGTGAAGATGGTAAAGGGCATGCTAATGATGACAGCAACGATAACTACAATGGAAATGACAACCAACATGATAATGAGATGAGAAACATAATGATGATCACATTGCCGATGGTGCTGCGGTGTGATAACGGCTGCGGTGACAACAAAGACCGATCGCAGCGATAATACTCACAGAAGTGGTGACAATGATGACACCGAAGTGATAGTCACGCGCAGAGGCTGGCAGCATGCACCTTTTTACGGGCGGACTGTCACACGGGGTCTCCCGATGGCGACACTGCTTCGGACAGCACCGGCTGAAGTGCTGTTTACTTGCTCGCAACTGTGGTTCACAGCGGCTGGTGACTGCTTTCTTCCATCATCTTCACGATCTCCGAGCATCCCCCCGCCATCGCTATAGCGATGGGCGTGCTGCATCGGTATCTGTATCCCAACGGTCCAAAAGGATCTGCACGAGCGCCAAGAAGAACAGCCACGATGCCAGCATTGTCCAAGAGCGCGGCCTCGACCAGTGCTTCACCATACGGGCGGGCTCCTGCCGCCAGCAGCACGCTGACTATCTGGAGATCGCCCGCATGGGCTGCCTCGGGTCATCTTTGGGTCACAACCTGAAGCCCAAACTCAGGATTTTAGACAATACCGCTTCACACATCTAGGCCCCTCCTTTAACATAGTACAAGATGCCATGACCAGAGGGTGTTGGAAGGAACCGTGCCCCACGGAGTAGTGGCACAGGCCTGTTTCCGCACCGTGTGAGAGCAGCAACTCCACCATGTGCAAGGCACCACGCTCGCATGCCAAGCCTAGGGGCGTAGTCTCCTGTCCGTACATGCCACACTCTCCGTTCACATTTGCATTCGCCTCGACCAGCATGCTGACCACCTCCATATGGCCTTCCTGACACGCCTCTCCGAGCGGTGTGTGGAACTCGCCGTCGTCCTCATTCACACTCACACAGTTCGGATCCAGTGGTCTGTTAAGCAACCGCTCCGTGGTTGCTAAGTCGCCATGAGCTGCTGCCTGGATCAGCTCGCGGTCTTCAGCTTCTGAGCTGCGCTGAAAGGGCAACAACAGTGCAGTTATGTCGATGGGACCTGAAACTTCTGCCTCGGCTTGTTGTTCTAAAGCGTTGGTGCAACTCGCAGATTGATAGTTTTATCGACAAAATCAACAGTAAATGCAAGCTGTTCAGATGCATCTGGGCCGCACAATCGCCCAAGTAGCTGCAGCTGCCTTGAGATGAGATAACCACGAAACCAACAAGCTAGTCGATCACACTGTCGATGACAGGCATTACATACTACTTTTGGGAATTTGGTTTACAGTCGCTTTCGGTTTGAATCTCGGGCAACACCTTTGCGTCTCCGGCAAGAAACAACGGTGAGCACATACACGCTTCGAAGCCAAAACCCGTTAACTGTCAACCCCACTACAGGCTCTGAAAAAGCAACTTCTGACTCTGAACTTGGATGTGTAGCGCCTGCTTCGCAGAGGCGCTGTCGGAAGCGCGGGAAGCCGAGCTGCAGCTTCAAAGCCCGAACCGTCAGCCTCGCGATGTGGGATTCATCGCGATGTGGGAGTCTGGTCTTGGGCTGTGGGGCTGGGGTTTATTTCGAAACGTGCAGATTCAGAGATTGGATTTCAAGATGCGAGCTTCGGAATTGGCATTCCAACCTGTCGCAATAAAACGCGCAGCCAACCTTCAAAAGTGGAGCCTCAATGAGCCACAAGCCTAAAACCTATCGGGGCTTATTGAGTCTACGACCCAAGAATTTAGCAGCGTGTTGGTGGTCCCATACAGCAATTCACCAGAAGCATTTTTCCAGTGTTTGCACCGCTGGAGACATTCTAATGCATACAACAACAGCTTCATCGAATATCATCGCAAGAATAAAGATGCGAAGCAAGAAGAGCTCCCAATATCAGTCACCATCAACAGAAAACGCCCCTGCAAAAACCGTGCCACATCTCAGGCGACATTTTCAGGTTCGGGTGGCTGATCATGGGCGCTACTTCGGAAAGTCATTGAAAGTCGAAGGCAAGAGCTTTAAGTTTGACCTGCGATAGACGGCTTCGCATGCTTTGACTCAGGGCTTCGAACCTGTCAGGATAGATGCATTTTTCGGTCGTGGGGTGTGGATGGTCACGGCCTTGAGGTTGAGGAGGAGTTGGGGAGAGTACTCCGAGTTCAAGACAATCGGCTTGTGAGCGGGTTGCCTACTTCTCTCTCAGAGCTTAGGTTTCTTGGTGCGGCCAGAGGGCTTCTCCGTTGTAGCAAGTGCCAACTCCCCTGAAGCTTTCCACACATGGATCATGTCGCGCGATCTGGGTGATCGAAGGCCTGTTCAGCTCCAGCTCAGACGAATGTCTGGCTGGCACCAGCGTGGAATGTCAGAGGCACAGATGAAAGACGCCCACCGACACGCGCCACGCGCTATGGAATGGGAATACCGTGAGAAAAACTATGGTTTGGGCCAAGACAGCCATCCGCAACGACGTTCGATCCGCTTGGCCTCGTAAGCTCATTGCGGATACTGACAGTAGCTGTTCAGAACACTACATCAAGCCTTAATTTCCCTTCGAAGAACCCCTGTTGAATCCCTCAGTTGAAGACTGGACTACACCTGAAGGTTCCGCCTCAACAGAGAGTTCTACTCGTACTTGGAGGTCCTGGCTTAGGGTTAAGGAGTCAAGGGAGTCCAATAGGGTTTAGGGTGGATGCAAGTTTTTTCCGAAGATATGCATGCGCAGTCTTTTCTGACTGAAGCTGCAAGCCGGAGAGTAGCCATGGGGAGCACCTTGCCACAGCCAGCTAGATCCATGGGCGTCCTAAAAAAGGCGTTTGAATCAGCACAGGCTTGCTACAAACGTACGTTCTCGCGAAGCCCAACTCCGGATGCGGAACGATTGGCGACGGTAACATGGATCCTTGCGCATACTAGTCACTAGTCCGCCCAGCTTACCCTCCCTGGGAGTTACAGGTAGGCCCTGGACTGACATTGCGTTGTCCACGCCAACAACTCGGGATATTGCGCCGCTGTCCAGAGCCCAGAGTGGCGCTTTCAGCCTGGTTGAGGGATGCGAGGCGGTTTGGGAGTTCGGGCTTTGGGATTTCGGAGTTAGGGCTGCAGGGCTTCTGCGTTCAAGGCTTTCGGGATTCGGAGTTGCGGGTCTTCGGCCCGTAGGGTGTGAGGTTTCGGGTTCAAGTAGGAGATCACGGGTTCTCACTCGTAAGCTCTGAATAGAGGTACCCTGATAAACCACTGCTCAAGCTACATACTAAATTCCCTGATCCCTAAAACAACAAAAAGAAAAACAAAGTAGCTACATTGGAGACTTATAGCCATGCTCGCCAAAATCGAGACCCAAACACTCAAGCCCTTGCTAAGCCCTAAACCCGAAGCGTTTAATGGCTCTAGGGCGTGGGGTCTCAGGATTCCGGGGGAGAGGGACCGAACCCTGAACGATCAGTCAGTTGAGGCTATGGCTTTAATAATGGCAACAGTAGTCGTCGTCGTCGTAGTAGTAGTAGTAGTAGTAGTAGTAATAAGAGTAAGAGTAAGAGTAAGAGTAAGAGTAAGAGTAAGAGTAAGAGTAAGAGTAAGAGTAAGAGTAAGAGTGGTGGTGGTGGTGGTGGTGGTGGTGGTGGTGGTGGTGGTGGTGGTGGTGGTGGTGGTGGTGGTGGTGGTGGTGGTGGTGGTGGTGCTGGTGGTGGTGGTGGTGGTTGTGGTGGTGGTGGTGGCAGTGGTAGTAGCACTGGTAGCCGCAGTCGCAGTAGCCGCAGTAGCCGCAGTAGCCGCAGTAGTTGCAGTAGTTGCAGTAGTTGCAGTAGTTGCAGTAGTAGTAGTAGTAGTAGTAGTAGTAGTAGTAGTAGTAGTAGTAGTAGTAGTAGGAGGAGGAGTAGTAGTAGTAGTAGTTGTTGTTGCTGCTGCCTCTACCAGGAGTCGTCGTGATGGCAGTGGTACTAGACGTCGTCGCAGAAATAGTAATAGTGAAGTGCTGGTAAGAACAATAGTAGGACATGATAATGATAGTAATAAATAGAATGAAAAACTCACTAGAATAGTAATAATGGGATGACGATCGCATGCCTCCGACGTGGGCCTTTTTGTTGGTCACCTCGTTTTCTTCCTCTAGGACTCTAGGATTCGAACCAAGCGTTTAACTTCCAACGACACCGCGCCGAGGGGCCTCTGGGTAAAGCATGTAAGGCTCTCTAGCAGAATGGAGTGCGGGAGAGGGCTGTAGGTGGGGTAAACAAAAACTGTAAAACCTCGTGCATGATGATAAGCAGGGTTCACGGATTTTGGCTTCGGGATTCGGGCGCGGGTTTAGTTATGAGCAGAGATTGAATAGATTGGACAGGATGTTCAGGGGTGATATAACGGAACAGGAACAGCTAACCCGTCTCAAGTTATCCCTGAACCTGCAGAATAAAATCAAAAGCCCCGAATCCGAAAACTAAAAACCGAAACCTACCGCGCGCTGCACTCGTAAAGTCCCCCAACTGCCACCGGCGATGCGGAGGCTTCCCTTCGGGTGGGGTCGTCACCCAGGTTACGATGCTTCTTTGTGATGGGGCGGTCACCCGCGTTACGGTTTCGTGGTTGGTCGGAGACGGCTGTTCTGGCAGTTTGTGCTTTCGGCCGCTGGTTAAAGAAAGCCTTTTTGGAAAAGCTGAGTGCCTGATCGGTGTTTGTGGTTGGCTGCTCGGCATAGCTTTGCTTGGCGCGGTCTGACTCCTGTGTCCTGGTTTCTTGTATTGCTAGGTTCCGCTGTCTTTGCAGTCGGACTCCTGTGTCTTGGGATTCTTTTTGACGGGGTGCTCACCTGCGTTGCGGGGCTTACCTTTGAATGAGTTGGTCACTGGCGTTACACGGCTGGCGATTGAACGGGATGCCACCGGGGCCCTCCTTTGAGTGAGGTGGTTACTGGCGTTGCAGGGCTGGCGGAGCCTACCTATGGATAGGGTGGTCACTGGCGTTACGGAGCTTAGCTGTGGATGCGGATGGTCACCTTCGGTACTCACCTTTGGATTGGGTGGTCACCGTTACAGACCGCACGTTTGGATGGGGTGGTCACCGGCGTTACGGGGCTGACCTTTGGATGAGTTTTGTTACCGGCCAAACTGCCGCTCGCTTTGGATGGAGTGGTCGACGGTGTTGCGGAGCTTACCTTTGCATGGGATGGTCAGGGGTGTTACGCTGCTAATTTTCGGAGAGGGTAGTCGGGTAGTCACTGCCTTTGGATGGGGGGGGTCGGTCGGAGACAACTGTTCCGGCCAGCTGCTGCTCAAACTAAGCTGTCCTGGAAGAGTTGTGTGCATGACGGTGTTGGTGGCGGGTCGGAGAAAACTTGCCTGGCATGTTGTGCTTCTGGTAGCAGCTGGTCAAACTAGATTGTGCTGGAAGGCTTGTGTACCGGCATGTGGCATCATACGGGAAACACTGTTCCGAACTCATAAACATCACGCCACTACCCCAAGCCATACCCGGTACAAAACCCGCACCCCGGCCCCTGCACTAAACCATACGATACACCTAACACGACCTAAAGCAAAGCAGCAGCGGCGGAAACTCTGACTTAGACGAACGAATTCTGTTGCCAGGTCGCGAAATACAGATCCACGGGTCCACGAGAGGCGAGATGAAGCGCAAAGCAGCTATGATGCCTGAGCCAACTGTGGTGTAAAGCTGCGCTTTCGCATTCCATGTGCTTAGGTCTTAGGTGCACAGAATGCAAGGGTGGGAGTTTCGAGCTCATTGAAGAAAAATATTTACATAGAGAAACTCCGGCATTTCTTATGAAGCCTAACAAACCGGAGCAAGATTTGGGTTGAGCGCCTGCGACATATCTAGATTTGAAGTATCAAAGCGTACACTACCCTACTTGAAAGGTAACATGGCCATTAAGCCTTCGTGGGACTTCCAAAGCAGCGGCTTCACGGCCGGAAAATATGCAATGAAGCGCAACAGATACATCACTCAGCACTGAATGTGTCTCCGGCCGTGTCTCTGTATGAAACATGTCAAAGAGGCAGAGCCTGTGCCCTAAACCCAAGAGACCCAATATACTCAATATACCTTGCACCCAGCACCTTGAACCAAGCACAAACTGGAAACGGTAACAAACCAAACGCAACGAACCCAAAGGCCAAAGCCATACCCTACAGGGTGGAAAGTACCTACAAAGGAACAATCATATGCTCCCGCACTGAACCTAAGCCCCGAATGTCTGGGTCCTTTGGACTGCTGCGGAAAAGCCCAAGCAGCTGCCGTCAAGGGACACGAGCCCTTTCACGCGCTCATTCACGGCAATCGAAGGCCTTGCGGATCGTATGGGTCTGGGGTCTGGGCGGTCGGTTTAGGGTTCAGGGCGTAGGGTCCAGGATAAGACTGGGAGAGTCAGCGGGGGGCGGGGGGAAAAAGGGTTGAGCCATGATTCAGAGTCTAAGGTTTCCTGCGAATGCAATGACCTTCCGGCTCAAGGGTTAAACTCGTAAATTGTGGGATCATACCCCTCTATTCTGTAAGGGCACTGGCACTGGCACTTTCACCACTGGCACTAGCCGTAGCGTTAGTGGTAGCGGCAGCAGGAGCAGTAGCACTGGTAGTGGCAGGAGCAGCAGCAGGAGCCGGAGCGAGAGCAAGAGCGGGAGCTGAAGCAATCATTGAACGATGCCTGGGTTTGCTGCAAGACGACGGCGCCGGAGTGGCAGGCCGGCGTCCAAGCTTCGAACGGGCCTGGTGCTGGCTTAGATAGTGGTTGAAGCTCTGGGATTTGGCAGGACCAGTCCCAAACCCTGAAACGCACGCCAAGTCTTCGGAGCCAAACCTTATTAAGACTAGGCTATAAGAACGGGCATGAAGCTTCGGCGAGTGCTCATGCTTCTGAGCAGAGTCTTATGTAGCTCTGGGGGTAGAGGAGCATGCGAAGAGTCTTGGGTTTAAGGTACACACGAAACTCGAAGCCATGAATGTATACTGTCTGACCATGACGTTTAAATACGAAGCCAGCGGGGTTGCTACCCTTGTCTTATGGCTGGAAGCAATGTCCTCATATGCTGGCACGTGCATTTGCAACATCGGGGCTCCTCAAAGTGGGTGATGGCGTCCCCCACCACATGCGTTCATGGCCGGGGAGGCGGGTGGTTCTTGCAACCGGCGCTTGCTAAACTAGCTGATGTTACCGGTGCCTGGAATCTCGGGGTATCAAATCCAACTTGGATCACCCTACACCTTGAAGCCCCAAGCCTCGAAACCTGCAAGTAAAGGCTGGACATTGAATCCTGGATCTTAGACCCGAACCCAAAACCCGGAACTCCTTGCATCCGGGCCCGGGGCTCCGTTGGATCATCTCGGCTTCAACGGCCTCCCCCTCCGGCCGTTGTCCTGCGGCAGAAGGCATGAAACCATACACATGCATGATACATGTACGTTCTGCACACTCGGACAACTGCAGAGAAACAGGAACAAACGCATGCACGCACACACATAAAGAGTTGCACACATTAGCCATTAGTACAGATTGTGAAAATATAAGGGATAAACCGATCTTTGAAAGGCACGGAATCTAGTAAACCTCCCGTCGAAACCCTAAATCCTGCGTGCACATTATTGGAAAGGCGGCTCTGTAGCTATGCCTGCCCCACATGACCGGAAGGCCAAAAAGAACCGTTTTGTGTGACTTTCGAATTTAAGAAAAAGGTTAGTGCCGCTGTATGCCATTGCGTATGCCATGCAGGCAAAATCGCTGCAAACAAATCCCATCCTCATTCTCCAGTGCCCTGGAACTGCCGGAGTTTGTGAGCACCAACCCACCCTTGACACCCCAGCATACTCCAGCTGTGATGGCAGCTGTGATGAGTGCACGCGCGGCCTCGCAGACGACGCAAGCTCCCCAAAGTTTCCAAGTCTTGCCGTACTCGCACGTCGCCTGCCAGGGAGAACAACGACCGATCCTGCATTTTTGGACGACACGACTGCGAAGCATGGTTGTATCGGTTCTGCTCGTGTCCCGGCCGTTCAACTGAGTCAACATCATGATCATCTAAATGATCCATGTGACAAAATAAAGTATCTTGCTCCGCGCGGGTACATCACCCAACTGGTAACTGGTAACCCTTCGACACCATATTTCTTGTTTATGTATATACACATTTTGTGTGTGTGTGCATGTGTATGTGTATGTGCTTTGTTCACATTCGTAACGAACAGAACTATACAGAACTCTAGGACAACCTGCTACAGCGCTTAACTCAAGCGTTTGGGTCGAGGCTCGTATAAGCACGCCGTGCATCACAGAATTGGGGCACCACCTGGAGCCCAACTCACTGGCAACAAATCGCACATCTTAGCACTGAGGCACCACTTGGAGCCCAAAATACCGGCGACACATCCTACAGTTCGAACCCAACGCACCGGCACATCTGAGAACTAGGACACCAGTTGGAGACCAAACCAGCGGCAACAAATCGTACATCTTACAAGTAGCAATGGGGCACCACATCGAGCCCAAGACACCGGCAACACCGCTTGGAGCCCAAGCCAGCGGCAAGGATACACACATCTTAGCATTGAGTTATTGAGCACAACATGGAGCCCAACACAACGGGGCACACGCATACACACCTTTGAGCTCAAACCAAAAGAATCATAAATTTTGGCATTGGGGCGCACCTGGAGCCCAACTCACCGGCAACAAGACGAAGATCTTTGCGCTGGGGCGCGGCTTGGAGTCCAAGGCATAAGCAACAAATCGTACATGGTGGCACTGGAGCAGCACTTGGAGCACAACACACCAACAACAAACCGTACATCGTAGCAGTAGGGCACCACCCGCCCAAGACACCGGCAACAAATCACACATTTTGGAAATGGGACAGCATGTGGAGCTCAAGTACATCTTGGAGGTGCGGCCTTTTGCCGGCATCTTTGGCTCTAAGTGCTAGGCCTGTGTCAAGATGCACGATTTTTTGCCGGTGTTTTGGGCTCCGAGTGGTGCCCCAGTGCGAAGATCTTGTTGTCGGTGTCTCCAAGTGCTGCCACAATGCTAAGATGTACGGACGACTTGCTGTTGCCTTTCGCCTGGGCTCCGAGTGGCGCCCAGTGCTAAGAACGATTTGTTACCAGCACCTTGGGCTCCAAGCTGGCCGGCGTCTGGGCTGCAAGCCATGAACCACGACCAAGATGCGTGATCTTTGCGGAGGTCTTGTGCTCTACGACTTTTTGCCAGTGTCTTGGGCTCCAAGTCCTGGCGCACTGCGACGATGTGCAATTTGTTGCCGTCGCCGTCGTTGTCTGCGTGGGTGAACGGTCGCGCTTGGCCATTATGGTCCGCGTCATCGTGTGTCTGGTCGTCTGCTCGTCTCCTCATCGCCGTCTTCGTCCGCCACCCTGCTCCCCCTCCAGCGGCTTCCTGCTAAACGTATACCCTCACCCATCCATTTCGGGAAGGTCCCCGCTCGAGAATACATTAACGGCTGGGTGTGGTCTGGGGGTCCTGTAAGGAAAAGTGCATGACGTATGTTGGGGATTATTGTTATTTTGTGTCGCGGTGCATTATATTCCTAGTTCTGCGGTTTCGGCTATATTTTGTATGGGATTTGCCCATCTTTTTAAGGCTGTGACTGTTTTGCTGCCACACGAAACCCCCAGAACACGTTAACCCACCCTGGGTAATGTATGAAGTCAAGGTACCCCCCCTCCAGAATACAGTGTTAGGTGGAGGTATCTAAACGTCCACCTCCTTCGTGTGCCTCTCTCCCCTCCACCTCCACCTCAACCTCCTCTACTCCTCCTCCTCCTGCTCTGCAGCGAGTACGCAGCCAAAACGACCGACGCCCGGCGCACCATGCACCAAGTCCACCCGCGCGCGGCTCGGCCGCCATGTTCAAGAGGCTGGTGACTGCTTTCTTCCATCATCTTCGCTTCACGCTGCATGAACGGGACGGGCATGGCGGCCGTCGTTTTCCTGAGGCTTGCAGCTTTTGCAGCCGAGGCGCAGTCGATGTCAAGGAAAACTCCCTCTCTGGGATCGAGAAGCCACAAGCGCGCAGCTCTTCATCCGTAGGGCTTGACGGTCTGGGTTTTGGACTCTCTGCTGCTGTTGACGGTAAAGAAGCGGTGGTATAGAAAGTTAGCACTAGTATAATATTTCCAGTGCTGTCAGTAGCCCTTGTAATTGTCACAATGAGAATGCTAGTGATTGCACGTGCGCTCGCGTGCTATGTTTACTTATCATATGGCTGGCTACCACGTACAGTTTTGATCGCCTGCTGTTTCGGCCAAGATGGCACTGAATGAGCCTTCGGGCCAGAGGGATCGAGCGACACAATCGTTCTCTTCATCAGAACCAACACCAGTGCACTTGCCTTTTTTGCTCACATGCAGTGGCGTCTCGGCCACCTGGTCGGTAAAATCAGAACGAAGCCAGAGACAACCGCCACACCACCCAGCTTCGCTCAGCGTTTGCATTCCTGCCGTTGCAGCTGTGAAGCAGCCGCCCGTGACATGATCCGACAGGCATCGAAGCTGTCCTCAGACGGCACAGCCAAGGCCACCTCCACTGCATCTTCCACCAGGGCATCTTCGAGAGACGAATGCTCAACAAACGGCACGACTTGCTCCATCTACCTGTGCCACGCTTCTGCGCGACCGGATTGGCTGCTATCGGATGGCAACAGCATAGCACAAGACCTACGGGCACACAGTGATATCGGAGCACATCATCCCCCCGCCATACCTGCTCGAGGAGGAAGATGCCTGACCTCAGAAGGTTCTTTATGGCCCCTGCGAAACTGGCGAAGGGAAGCCAGGCTTAAAACTAGCCGTGAATGCTCTCCCAGAATCTTCTCGCCAGTTGCATCATGCATCTTATGCCTGCTCCTTTGTGCAACAGGCAGGCACAGCTACCTTAAAACGACACTGGCTTGTTGCATGCAACCATGCAGTATCGCTGCATGGGTATTGTCCTTGCCTTCTCCGCCTCATTAGCACTGCTAGAGGACTACGTCAGTGTCAGTTCTACATGTGGGTATCCCCTGTCCTATGCAATGCGGTACTGCTCCTCACGACAACGAGGCATGCTGCACTAGTACTGCTGCACTGCTCCTACTGTGTTTGTTGTTACCTGCTCTTACGCACTGCAGCCGAATCCCACATTCCCAACCCTACGAGTTGAATCATGAACCCTGAACTCTAAATCCGAAACAAAAGACCGGAAATCCGAAGATCTACATTCTGGGCCCGGGGCTCTGTTGGGCTTCAGCGCCCTCTCCGCCCTGCTGTCCGATGGCCGAGGGGCCTCCAGCACGGCATGGGGCCATTCCGGCCATTCACCCATGCATGATCCCTGTGCGTACGTTGCATGTGCATACCGGCACAACTGCAGACAGACAGGCGCACAGCGCACACAGGCACACGCAAACAGCCACCAACGAGTCACATCTAGTGGAGATGATTGAAAGGAAGATGCTCAGCAGCCGTGCGCAACTATCACATAAAGCCGGCAGACCTTCGCCCACATACCGTTTCCGTGGCAGGTTGTCCAGCTTCTGTGCCATTCAAAGGGATCTGTCTGTTCACAGATGTGTGCACCAGTACAGAAGTGATGCGAGGCTCGAATGGATGCTTTCAGGACAACTGAGGGTCTCTGTTTCAAGGCTTGTACTTCCGGGCTGTCTTCGTTCAGCATGGTTGAAAGGCTAAGTGCGATACACATTCTGATTGTTACACTCTTTGCATATATAGCGTGAGCTCCGGTCTCCTCGCTTGTGACTAGAATTCGGGTGGCTCCGTCTGTGCGATAAGTTCTCACTCGTGCATATCTAACCATGGGCTCCTTTGCTTGGTGGGCGCTGATACATATATTATGACGATACATTCATGTAAATGCATGATAAGAAGCGGCGTGTGCCACAATGCGAATCCAGCATGACATCTCAATATGCTATAACCACCAAGCCTTGCTCGCCGGCTGCGCCGCCCGCCGAGGCCGCCAGAACTGGATGGCAGTGCTCGGGGACGGGAGGGCTTGTTTAAGTATGGGAAGCGAAACTCCGGTCTTGTAGATGCTACTGACAGAGTACATGATGAGGGGTAGCAAATCAACGTGTGTCCGATGAAAGACGGAACGGCAGGATTTCGTCAAGACGTGTTGATGCGAATTTTGTGGTGCGGCGCCATGAGAAACCTCTCCTGACTGGACCTACCGAAAAGCAAGGCTATGGCGGGGATGTGTTACGCCTGGTTGTCACAGATGTCTAGCAATGCTTCTCGAAAACCAGCAGATACATCACAACAGATGGAGATAAGAATCAGAAAATTGTAAAGGATAGACGGTGCAACGCAGCAAACAAGATGTGTTGCTGCGTCGGTCACCAGTTGCGGCTTAAATGCATCCCAACAGCCTCAAGCAAATAGCAACTATATTGAGTTGGCTGGCAGCACCACACTCTTTTCATACGAAATCCGTATTAACCTCGATGCATCATCAGCATCATCATCCTCATCATCCTCATCATCATCTCTTTCTCTCTCAGTGGCAGTGGCAGTGGCCGCGCCAGTGGCGAGTGGCCAGTGCCAGAGGACTAAGTCCGCGTCAGTTCTACAATTCATGAGGGTATTCCCTGTCCTATGCAATGCGGTACTGCTCCTCACGACAACGAGTCATGCTGCATTAGCACAGCTCCTACGGTACTAGTGCTCTTACGACATTACGGCTGTTGCCGGTGAGACTGCCGTTTCGCCTACTCGCCGGTGACAAACACTATCACGATTATCCTAGTTTACCCTCCATCCCTAGAGTTACTCACCCTGTCTAGACTTGCTGTTATTTCCAGGCATTAAAACTCAGCCTTTCTCAATCTAACTCGATCCCCACCGCCTCGTAGCCCGGGGCTCTGTTGGGCTTCAGCATGCATGATCCCTGTGCGTATGTTGCATGTGCATACCGGCACAACTGCAGACAGACAGGCGCACAGCGCACACAGGCACACGCAAACAGCCACCAACGAGTCACATCTAGTGGAGATGATTGAAAGGAAGATGCTCAGCAGCCGTGCGCAACTATCACATAAAGCCGGCAGACCTTCGCCCACATACCGTTTCCGTGGCAGGTTGTCCAGCTTCTGTGCCATTCAAAGGGATCTGTCTGTTCACAGATGTGTGCACCAGTACAGAAGTGATGCGAGGCTCGAATGGATGCTTTCAGGACAACTGGGGGTCTCTGTTTCAAGGCTTGTACTTCCGGGCTGTCTTCGTTCAGCATGGTTGAAAGGCTAAGTGCGATACACATTCTGATTGTTACACTCTTTGCATGTATAGCGTGAGCTCCGGTCTCCTCGCTTGTGACTAGAATTCGGGTGGCTCCGTCTGTGCGATAAGTTCTCACTCGTGCATATCTAACCATGGGCTCCTTTGCTTGGTGGGCCCTGATACATATATTTTGACGATACATTCATGTAAATGCATGATAAGAAGCGGCGTGTGCCACAATGCGAATCCAGCATGACATCTCAACATGCTATAACCACCAAGCCTTGCTCGCCGGCTGCGCCGCCCGCCGAGGCCGCCAGAACTGGATGGCAGTGCTCGGGGACGGGAGGGCTTGTTTAAGTATGGGAAGCGAAACTCCGGTCTTGTAGATGCTACTGACAGAGTACATGATGAGGGGTAGCAAATCAACGTGTGTCCGATGAAAGACGGAACGGCAGGATTTCGTCAAGACGTGTTGATGCGAATTTTGTGGTGCCGCGCCATGAGAAACCTCTCCTGACTGGACCTACCGAAAAGCAATGCTATGGCGGGGATGTGTTACGCCTGGTTGTCACAGATGTCTAGCACATGCTTCTCGAAAACCAGCAGATACATCACAACAAAGGGAGATAAGAATCAGAAAATTGTAAAGGATAGACGGTGCAACGCAGCAAACAAGATGTGTTGCTGCGTCAGTCACTAGTTGCGGCTTAAATGCATCCCAACAGCCTCAAGCAAATAGCAACTATATTGAGTTTGCTGGCAGCACCACACTCTTTTCATACGAAATCCGTATTAACCTCGATGCATCATCAGCGTCATCATCCTCATCATCATCTCTCTCTCTCCCTCTCTCCGTCTCTCTCTCTCTCTCTCTCTCGCTCGCTCGCTCGCTCGCTCGCTCGCTCTCTCTCTCTCTCTCTGTCTCTGTCGCTCTCTCCCTCTCTCTCTCTCTCTCTCTCTCTCTCTCTCTCTCTCTGGCAGGACAAGCGTCGGCAGGCGTTCTGGTGTGGTCTTTGGTAAGCACATCATGAACATCATCACACCGATCATCACCATCACACCATCACCACCAAGCAGTAGCATAGCGGTAGCAGTAGCGGCAGCAGCAGCTGTAGCAGTGGCAGTGGCAGTGGCCGCGCCAGTGGCGAGTGGCCAGTGCAGAGGACTAAGTCAGAGTCAGTTCTACAATTCATGAGGGTATTCCCTGTCCTGTGCAATGCGGTACTGCTCCTCACGACAACCAGGCATGCTGCATTAGCACGGCTCCTACGGTGTTTGTTGTTACTACTGCTCTTACGACATTACGGCTGTTGCCGGTGAGACTGCCGTTTCGCCTACTCGCCGGTGACAAACACTATCACGATTATCCTAGTTTACCCTCCATCCCTGGGGTTACTCACCCTGTCTAGACTTGCTGTTATTTCCACGCATTAAAACTCAGCCTTTCTCAATCTAGCTCGATCCCCACCACCTCGTAGCCCGAACCCCACATTCCCAACCCTACGAGTTAGAGCCCAAACTCTTGGGCACACCAATACATCCCCCACGCTGTACAAGTAAATCATGCATGAACCCTGAACCCTAAATCCGAAACAAAAGACCGGAAGTCCTGATCTACATTCTGGGCCCGGGGCTCTGTTGGGCTTCAGCGCCCTCTCCGCCCTGCTAGAACAGTTCTGGCACTCGCACTCACCGATCGCACTCACACTTGCACTCGCAGGAGCACAGCAACAAGCGTCATCTCCTTTGTCGCCGTCGTCGTAGTCGTACCCGTGGTGGCGGTAGTGGCAGCAGGAGCAACAGAAGTGTTACAGTGTCGCAGCAGCGGTGCGTAAGCTAGCTTAGTGGAAGCTCCGCCGTGGCGCTGGCGATGGTGCGGATGGTCATGTTGGACATCTGTCGTGGTGGGTGAGTGCCGAAGACACTGGCGATGCTGATGACGACCCGGCACACAGCACAATGCAGCTTTGATCGGCTTGGTGCTTTAACATGCAGATGCCTGCGCGCTCTCAGCCTGCCAGCCGAAGGTTGGCGGCGCCCAGCCTTCCGGCAACGCGGCGGGAACCTGCGACATCAAGTCGCGGCTTCGGCCTTTTCCACTCATTCTTTCTCTTTCCTGTCCTGCCTCTTCCTCCTTCTCCTTCTCGCTCTCCTTCCCGCCTCCCCACTCCCGTGTCCGTTGCTACTGCGTGGCACGCACCTAAGCTTGAGAGATACTAACTACTTTCCCCCTTGCTTGCTCGGCTCAACCTCTCGACCCGGGTTTGGAAGGATTTCAGCCGGCTGAAATCCTGTGAGCAAGGGTTTGGCCTAAACTTAGGGGTAAGGATCGACCCAAGGATTTCCGCCGGCTGAAATCTTTGGCCCAGGTTCCGAAAAAATCCCCGCGGTTACCCCGGTGCCGGCCCCTTAGCGTTGCCAAGATTTGACAAGGGCGTATGTGTATACATATATATATATATATGTATGTATGTGTGTATGTGCACATGCGCAGGCATACAATGCCTGCGTCCGACTCCCTACAACCTCTGGCTGCTTCTTGACGGCCACCATATCAGGGGCTGCGTCTTCAGCGCCCCGGGAGAGTAGTGCCCAAGTGTTTCCGACATACATCTTTACATTGTGCCAGTTGTGCGGTGGCACGGCTCAACTCGCATACAGGTTTGCCAACATATATGTGCACATACAAACAGTGCGCCGAACAGCTTCCTGTGCCCTCAGTCCAATCACCTCCTCGGGCCGGACCTGCCGTTCGGAGCACTGTTTCCTGGGGATGCCGCGAGGACGCACCATTACAAAAAAGCAGCACGCCGAACAGCTTCCTGTCCCTCAGTCCAATCACTTCCTCGGGCCGGGCCTGCCGTTCGGAGCACTGTTTCCTTCTTGTTGTGGGGATGCCACACACAACGAGGACGCACCATTATATATAAACAGTGCGCCGAACAGCTTCCTGTGCCCTCAGTCCAATCACTTCCTCGGGCCGGACCTGCCGTTTGGAGCACTGTTTCCTTCACACAACGAGGGCGCACCATGAGCATCAGCATCCATCAATCAAAATTTCATTCATCATACCCTCTCTCTCTCCGTCTGAGCTGGGGAATCTGTTTGGTCTGTTTGGCTGGAATCCTTGCGAGGTACAAGGATTTCAGCCGGCTGAATTCCTTCTGTAGCTGGCTGAATTTGGGCTGAGAGGTACAGGATTTCAGCCAGAAGCAGGCAAGGGGGATCTACTATTGCTACCTGCCAACACGACAAGTGCTCTGCTAGTGCTTCTTCTCCGGCAACTACGGCAACTGCTTTTACTAGTAATTAGTGAGTCACGTGAGCCAAAGCGGCGGGCTGAGTAACAATGACGAGCCTCAGTCCTGCTTTCCTTCCCCTGCTCCTGGTCCTCGCACTGCTCCTGCTCCTGCTACCCCAAACGCGACTGCTACGGCTCCGGCCGCGGCTGATGCTACTGCTACTAACACGGTGCTACTGCTATTGCTACTGCTACTACCACTGTGCTACTGCTAGTGCTACTGCTACTGCGACTGCGACTGCTACTGCTGCTGCTACGACGACTGCTACTGCTACTGCTACTGCTGGTGCCAGCTGGTGCGAGTGCCACTGCTACGCCGCTACCCTCCCCTCCTTCTCCCCTCCTCCGCCCCTCCTCCTCCCCTCCTACTCCTCCAACTAAACCGACCGACACCCCTGCGCCCTGTGCCAAGTCCACCCGCGCGCGGCCTGGCCGTGACGGTCACTTCCTGTTGCTGAGAGCCTGAGTCCGCGCGGGCACGCCCCAGCCGCCAGCAGCACTTGGACCGTTCGGTCGTGTCCACCTCTGCTTGCCTTGGATCGTCTTGCGGTCACAGCCCAAAGCGAGATTCGAGCTTTGAAACTATGCAGCTCAAAAACATATATCTGCATGCGTTATCACAATACGAGGTGCCAAAGCAATCGGGGACTCGAAGCGATTGTCCGTGTAGCCGGGCTGAGCAGCGTCGGCATTGTGGTTCAGGAGCATCTCCACGATAAAGTGGTTGCCAAGTTGGGCAGCGAGACACAACGCGGTAGTTTCCATGCCAACAGCGCCGAACTCGAGGTTCGGGTCGGCCTGGGCTTCCAGGAGCAAGCTCACCACACTCACCACCTCCTGATGGCCTTCCAGCAGCGCCATACGCAGAGGTGTAACCATGACGATCTCCTCGTAGATCTCGGTCATATAGTGACAGTTCGGATTTAGTGGTGCCCGCAGCAACTCCACCAATCTTGTCACGTTGCCATGACGTGAGGCATCGACCAGCGCAACGATGTCAGCTTGCGAGCTCTCTTTCCAGGGCACCATGACCAACTGCAAGTCAGCAGGGCCTGCAACTGCTGCCTGAGCTGGCTGCCGTTTTAAAGGCGTGATACGATTCAGGACCTCGTGGTTGTAGATTTATGGTTTGGCCGGCGAGATCAATATCAAACACAAGCTATTCGTGAACATCCCAGCGGCGTCATCGTCCAAGTCCAAGCAGCTGCAGCTGCCTCCAGATGAGATTGCCATGAAACTGAGAAATTAGTTCGTCACGCCTACGGTAGGAAGCAAACCGGCACACAAAGGGATGTCCACATAAAATCTTACCAACGAGGAGGGACCTGGTTCTCCAGCCCACTTTTTAGCATGACGAAAATTAGCGAGGCGTTGGTGCATGAGGGGGTATGTTCAACATGGCTTTTGGATATGAACCTCAGGCAGCATCCTAATGTCTCAGGCCTCGAAAAAGTAAGTGATGACAACTCGAGAGCCCCATAACTGTAAGCCAAGCACCTTATGCGGTTTAAAAGCAGTCGCGCAGCGCCTGCGTCCTGCAGGCGCAGGCGGAAGCGTGGGAAGCCCGGAGCAGCGAGCTGCTTCAAGGTCTGCACACGAAGCCTTTCGATGTGGAAGTCTGTCTGGCTTTTGACTGTTGAGATCCGGTTTTACATCGGTGTTGCAACTTTCAGGTCATCTGCTTTCCAACTAGGTGTCCAAAAAGTCGGAGCATAAAGCCTTAAAGCCCTGGAGGGAAGGAGAGCCAAACACCTGAGAGTGGGTTCTCGACGGCACATTGTCTTCAGATGTTTGTTGGCCTTTAGTCAGTGTCGCCGTCGAAACATTTTCCAGGACTTCTCAATCTTGCGACTTTGCGGAAACTCTGAGTTTCACTACCACAGATCTGATGTTTAGGGTTAAGGGTTGACATTTAGTTTAGGCTTTGAGGTTTTGTCAAGGTTTCAACCAGTGTAGCATGGAAAAGATTTGGATGCGGCTCTGGCTGTCCCATACGTCCACTCGACGGCATAATTCTCATAAAGCATCTGCTGAAACACATGCTTCATCGACTAGTGCCCACCATGATCAATCCCACTTGCTAGTCGTTCATCCTTCGGACCATCCCAGGGATTGACCGGAATTTACGAGAATCCACAGAGACCAACCCAAACTGCTTCAACGCAGAAAACTTGTGGCCTTCGATGCGGTTTGCAGGCTGCGCTTGAAGATGGTTGAAGGAGTTCCGGCGTGAAAAGGACGGGCAAATGCTTGACATGTGGTTGTGTTCTCACTCAGGCTGAAACCTCGGACTCCTCTCGACCCTTGGGATTCAAAGCTTAGGCTTGTTTGCGGCCATGGGGCTTCTGGGACCCGTCCACTGATAGAACCAGCTGCCCTGACGGTTTATATACGCAGATAGAGGCCATGGCGGACGAAGGTCGCACCGTGATATCCGGCATTTGATTGGCGTGTGGTAGCTACTGCTACGGGCAGACCCAGTCTATGCCGAGGCGTGCCCCAACCCCAAACCAACCCTGACCGTGCTGTCTACCCTCGGGCCGAAATCGCTGCCCAAGCAAACGTGCACCTGAAGCCTCAATGGCTCCGGTCAAGACAGACCGAAGACTTACCGTCGGTGCGGGCCCTTCCAACACAAGCCTCGATATCAAGCACCAAGACGCATCAACGAATCAGCAGCCAGCGCTCACGAAACATGAGAGCTTAGCACAGCTATCGAGTACGCCCCGAAGTCGCATTCGAAGAGTTATTCCACCCCGTGTTTTGAGCGATGAGGCTCCTGGGGAGGCCTCAAGGTTAGACCATGCAAGGGCAAACGAAATGAGCAAAGCCAAGCGGCAGGAAAGCAACCGCTTCTTTGGCGATGCTCCAGGGCTCGAAGTGGGATTTGACACCTCCAGCCATGGCATCAACACTTTTCCCTTCACGACTACTCTGACTACTCTCTCCCACTGGAACATCACTACTACCATTACAACTGCGATTGGCGCTATGGTGCTGATGACTATAACATCCCCGCATGGTACATCGTCCAAGCATGCTGCTCTTTCATAAAGGCCTCGGTTCTCGATCCAATACCCTGGGTTGACGCCCCGATGGCCAAATCGATGTGGAAGCAACAGCGTCTTGCACGATCCTTCCTAAATTGAAGACGAGTCTTACATATGAATAATGATGATAACAATAGTTGTGACTGTGGCTTATGTTACAGAGCTTTTTGTTAGCCTTGCTCCATGCAAATGCATGAAAGGACCAAAACCAAGCAATCGGCTCACGATGCTCCAAGACCCGACTCAACTCCTGCAATATCCAACCTCAGATGCAGTCTTTGTTTGCCATGGCTGATTCAGGGCTGAGGGTGGAGAAGCAAATTATATACATCGCTCCCAGATGGAAGCCTGTCCATGCATTCGAGATGAACTTGCAGCAAGAGCTATGTTCTATATTGATGTAGTGCCTTTCAGGTGACGGCTGTGTACGCAAGCCTGCCGTGAGCGACCCCATGGCAGGATGTACCTGAATGCATGGCGAGGGACCGGTTGCAATAATAATACGAACAATAACAATACCATACAAGATCTGTTAATGATAGCAGTAATGATAACATGTCTTGGAGATAAGCATCATCATCATCATGAGAATGATAACAATCAGTCTTTTGGTTGTGTTTGCCTTGTTACCATCTTCCATCTCCGCCTCTTAAACCCCCATCGGCCCCAAGCCGTCTGAAAATTATCGGCCCCAAACCCGGAACCCAAGACTCCCAAAACCCTAAACGACCCTAAACACCCCGAAACCCATCAAAGTCCGGGAATCTGAGGCACCTCCTCGGTCGAGGTGTACTGCCCTTCTCCACGACTGGCCGCTGAGCCCAGGTGATCTGAACACTCACCTCACGATCTTTGGATCTTTGGGGTTGAGAGTTAGGGCTTGGGGTTCAGATGGGTAGACGTGGTGCCGGAGCCCGACTTCTCACACTTTTTGTACTGTCTACCGCACTTTTCAATGTTCTTGGCGGCAGTATGATTGCTATTGATGCTGTTGCCGTCGTCATCATCATTGTAGTGGCAGTGTACCATTGTTGCATCTCTCTATCCTATCTATACTGCTGCTATACTCTAGCTGTAAGAGTAAGAGTCATATTACAGTAGAGCTTTCGGCCCATGTTAATGCGGTTCTGACTTTCTCGTTGGATGCAGAGCTTGGAATGGACCCAGCAATGACGTGTCTACAAAGGCGGTACATCATTGCTCTGCAATGTTCAATCCAGTTGCCACTATCACAGGGCAAGCGCTCTCTGCAGCAACTGGTGTCTGTAGCGTGGCTGCTTTCCACTTTTTGAGTTCCCTTCATGGATGAGGCAATCATATTATCATGTCTAAGAATACTAGCCTCACCCTTACACTGGTGTCCAGTGTCAAGCACGCCAGCGGCAGGAGCTTGAGCAGGAGCAAGGGCAGCAGGAGTAGTAATAGTAGTGGTCATCGTCGTTGCCGTAGTGGTAAATCACTGGTGATTTCAATGGCAGTAGCGGTATCACTAGCAGCAGCAACAGCTGCAGCAGCTTCAGCAGTAGCATTCGTGGTCGTCGCCACCATCGTACTCGTCGTCGTCCTGGCAGTTGTTTTGTAACGAATGAGCGTGCTTGTCATTGTCAGTACATCATTACAACTACAACCGGTTGCTCTTACCAAACATGCCATTCACGTCTTCATGCTGCAAAAGCTATTCTTTTCTCTACTATGCTTCCAAACATTGAGCGAGAGCCAGGAACTTCCGGCCTGTGGTACTGCGCCAACATCAGCACCTGACACCGGCAGCGGCGGGGGTGAGCGGTCGCGCTGCGAGCGGCGTCGAGGTTTCCGCCGCACAGCCTGCGCGCAGCACACGACGGATGTTCAACGGCACTTACAGCGCTCTCGGTACGAAGAACTACAATGACCGTAGCAACGAAAAGGCAAAACCAACTGTTCGTGGCAACAGGAAAAGTAGAAGAGAAGATTTCTGAGATGATTGCAGGAACTTGAATTTTTGATTAGCTAAACCTAGTACCTACTACCAGCATTACCATCATCATTACCATCACCATCACCATCACTGTCACTCGCGCTCTTTATATTGAACTACCCATGGTCATTGTGTACCGGGCAGTGCATGGAGAGGTGGAACTCCGCGCATCGAGAGCAGAATGCCGAAAAATATGTCAACAATATGAAGACACAGCCGGAGAACCCCAAGCCACCTAAGATAATGCATTTAGGGCAGGGAATGGTAAAGCAACAGTAAGACGCTCATGCTTCTAGCAGAACCGTCGACCGGGTGACCAATTTGTTTGATTTGGTCCTTGGTAGGTCCGCTGAGTTGGCTGGATTCAGCCAGAGGGTGAATGCCTGCTCATCCCGTTCGGAGTACGGCATCTACTAGCAAGAATCTGCTGCATTGCCTGTGCAACAGTGACAGTCTCTGCGGTTAGCTGTTTGAAGTGCTGCTGTCGCCAGAACTACTTGCGTGCACCTCGTCCTCCGCATCGCTGGGAGTTATGCGACGAGCGAGCCCACCTCGCCGGCGTTCAAACTCACCGCCAAAGATGGTGGATCATCGTGCTGCAAGCTGGCTTAGGCTTAATTCACCTCCGAAGCCCGGGATCACAAGGCCTCCTGTGCCTCCTGGATTGGCATGACGAAGATTCGCTTCTGCAACAGACTCCTGGATGCTTCGCTAGCCGGCGAGTTTTGGATCTGGGGGTGATATTATATGGGTAGTTGTCAAAATTAGGGTCCCTTTTTTGGGTACCCTACATAGTAGGTGCTGGCGTATATTACCGACCCAAAAACGGGGGGCATAATTTTGACAACCACCCATATATTACGTATTCAAGTCGAAACATGTCCAGTTCTGCCGGCTGCCGCCTGGGAAGGCGGCATGCAAAGACCACCTTCCTCTTCCGAACCATTCAGTCCGAAGTACCTATAAAATTCGTATGTTGTGTCAGACCAGATCATATCATGTCATATCATACCACATGTAGCACATCGGATCGAAAACGGGGGTAGATATTTCACACTGCTGTCTAGTCTTGCTGCGTTGTCGAAGAGCCTAACCAAAAGCTCAACACTGCCTGGACCGAGGCGATGATCTCCACCACTGGGCGACCAGGTGCTACTCGAATAATGCCGGACACCTCAGGGAGTGATAGGGGTGGGGGGGGGGGGCAATTCTAGCAGTTTGAGTTTGAACTTGGGCGGTCCTGACGCTTCTGGAGATGTGAATAAAAACAGATTCATCTCTGTCATTCAGAATCTTGGCACTCTACCAAGGACAGCCGCGTGCAAGGTCAAATAGGTCAAATGAGGGCCAGGCATTGGTCTGGCACGACCTCAAACTAAAGCACGGCACATGTGAGCTGGCGACTGTGGATTCCGGTTTGGGTACGGCTGGGTCTCGTGAGCACTCTCGCCGTCGGCTGCCGCCAATCCTAGAGACTTTTGCCTTGCCTCAAACAGAGTGGTTCATGTTTATGCTCGATGGCAGAGAAACATCTGCTGTATTTCTTCTATCGCCTCATCCTACTTAGTCCTACTTCCGGCCAGGGCACAACGAGGGATCCTCCTTCTGGTGCTCAATCTGGGCCGGCCGCATGAAGGTGGCGGTCTGAACCGGGGCACGTGTGCACGGCAAGCAAGACAGAAGTTGCCTCCTTCGGAGCCCCTGCATTGCAACAGAGCTTTGTTACGCCAGAACCTCCGTGTCATGGCTTTGCTAGATAAGGGCCTTGATGGTCGCAAACCCTTGCTGGTGTATTTTCATGCCATTAATTTTCATAAGGGCTATAAGGGATCCCCATAATTATATTAGGACTAGAAGGGGATCCGACTCAAAACCGCTCCGATCCCTGTATCCAGCCACACCTCGGGGCTGGCTCCGGCGACCTGGAGTTCAGGGTTTAGGGGTTTGGGTGCTTAGGGGGTTTACGGGTTTAGGGGTTTGGGGGTTCGTTTGTTTTGGGGTTTTGGGTCCGGGGGTTTGGGCGGTTTTGGGTTTAGGGGTTTGGGGGTCTAGGGTTTCCATGGAAGGCGCGCTTACTGCCGATTTGGACTCGAAGTGGCAGTGGCATTGAGCCAAAGACCGTTGTTAAGAAGTCTAAAGGTAGCCTGAGGGGTTGTAGAAACATACTGTCTATCTACTTAGAGAAACTTCATCCCCCAGCGAAAAGGTAAATTCTGCTCCAGCGCTGCGCCTCGGGCGCAAGCTCTGTGACATTCTTGGCAAACGACTCCTGCGACGGCCGTTTCGGGTCTAGGATACATACCTTCAAACGGATTGGGCACACCTTGTCAGATTGACTGATTTGTGGGGACTTCAATCGGCTATCTTTCGTGCCGTCTCTGTCAGGTGTCGTTGCACTCCCCGAACACGGACAGGAGCCGTGGTGTTCGGCGTTTTTCGTCCAAACTGTAATCCAGTCGCACCTTCTAGAACCTCGCTTGGACTGAGCTGAGTGACGCGCAAATTCAGGGCAACCACGAAGACAGTGTCCGATCCACCGTCCCGAACAGCTGCAAACTTGCGGGGACAGACAACGCTATCGACTTATCGGCTAGCTGGTAGCTGGAGTGTCCCCCAACAGCTTTTTGAAACTGATACCACTGTTATGTTTGATCCGAGTCTCTGCACGCTTAACCCGTTCCCTCATGGCAGCTCCCACCTCCTCTGTTGACATGAAGCAGGCTAAGTTAGTATAGGGGCCTCAATTCGGCCTTAATTACAAGCATAGTATAATATACCCCAAGATCCTATTCTAATTATTGAGGCCCCTGTATTCAGTGCCAAAGAGCATGGCCGATAAGCAGCGGCAGCCCTCAAAGGCAGCATGTCTTCCAAGCCCTCAAGGATCGTGGAAACCCACCATCCTAGAACCCAATGCAGTATCCATGCCAAATTTGCTGCTGCCAAAAACTGCCAGTCACACGCAGCAGTGGTCCTGAATGTGCGACAGGGCTTGGGCCGCCAGCCTATTGCGGAGCTTTTGCCATCACTTGGAAGCTCTTCTCACTGATCTCCGATCTTTAGAATCTAGAAGGATTACTAGGATGGTGGCCCATTCAGCTCATGCTACGGCCTCTTCGGCTCCAAGGTCGACTGTGCTTCGGAGGGACATGGTATCTTACAGCTCTTCTACGAGTAGGCTGTCCTCCTTTAGATGGACTGGCAGCAAGACAGCACATGTCCTGAACAGCTCGACATACTCACAGACTCGCAAAAGTGTATTGAACTTGAAGTCCACCTTCGGTTGCTCATTGACAACACCTTCTTCGGTTGCTCATGCCAAATCTGGAGTCTTGGACGATGACGAATGCTCTCATGCTCCTTGAGGCTCGCAGCCCTGAACTGTCTGGTCTGCGGTGTGTCTGCGTTGGCCGGTAATTTGTTTTTCATACTGCGTAGCTGATGCAATGGAGGCTATCTATCATTGCCTGCATTCTGTGAGCGAAACTCGGGCCCTACGCATTCACCCGCGTGCAGAAGCAACCCTCAGCGACGTCTGAGGAAGCTGCTCAATCGAGCTGACCGCCGTCTGTGGTCTAATGTGCAAGGACCTCGGAGAACAAACAGCTGTAGAGCTTCTTCGTGTAGTCTGTTCAGCCGGTGGGGTTCTGCCAGGCGCAGGACTGCAAGAACTCTTAGCCCCCAAAGGCCCCTCCCTCCTAGCGCCCTCACTTGCAGAGGCAGGGGACTTAGTAAGTAGGTTATAAGTACGGTTATAAATACCCTTATAAATGGAGTTACCCCAATTATAACCCTACTTATAACCTACTTGCTAAGTCCCCTGGGCCTCCAAGCAAAGGAGCACAGACAGGGTGAAACTCTTTGGGCTCCCCACCAGGCCAGGGAGCCCAAGGCGCCAACGCACAGCGGCGCCGACGAGCCCCTCCGTTCCTCTCGGAACGTGGGGTCCGATCCGATAAGCTTCTGGGTTCTGGGTTTAAAGTTTACGATTTAGGCTGGGTTAGGGTTTAGGGTTAAGTGGAACATGGCAAACCTTGTCGGAACGGCTTGGGTTGAGACGGGTAGGATAGGATGAGAGGATTTCGGATGACATGAAGGCCCACGCAACCCGTGCAGCCCATTGCCGGCAGTTCCTAGTGAAACCCTGTCGCCCCAGTGAGGAAACCCATTTGTGGGCTTTCGTTCTGGTGCTTTTTGTGCAGAAATGGTTGCAAAACGATTTTGGACACGGTCCCGACCCCAGCGAGGCAACACCTCAGCATGTGGTTTGCAGGTCCAGTTAAACGACTTCGATGGTCATTCCGGGCCCACAGCAAATTCTCGTGCTGTCTTTCTCCTATACATCTGCTCCTCGCGCAATGAAGCTCCAGCATCCAGCCAAAATATCGGCCTGGCGTGCTTTTCTGGCTACATTGACAAGTAAATTGTGAACCGCCCTGCTAAGAAACGGCACGCTGCGGCAAACCAAGTCGCAAGAAACCAGGTGGACAAGGCATGAGGCGCGCAGCCCCCTTCACCCCAAAGCCACCCTCGTCGAAGCTCTTCCAGCGACTCGCCTTTCAGTACCTGTCCATGCAGGCGAGATAACGGCGTTGGCAATTGTAGCATGCAAGAAAACATGCCGAACACCTTCGGAATCCGAAGGTGTTCGGCATGTTCTTCGGATGAGTCACAGGCCGGGGAAACAAGTCGATTGAACCGAACTTGCTCCGAAACTCAATGCACCACGAAAGCCACTGCCACGAAGCAAACAATCAAACTGGCGGCCAGCGAAAGTGACTGCACTGCACGAAATAACGAGAGCTGTTACTAGCTGTTTCTTGTACTCCATCTACTGCTCAAACTGTCAGGCGGCTCGAGGCTCTGTCAACAGGAAGCCATCATTGCAGCCACTATCATGGCCAAGGCTCTGTCCTAGCCGTTCGCACCTCGGCAGCACCAACGCGGCCCTCGCCGGTACGCTGCGCCGCAAGAAACCTATGTCACACGAAGGACTTCTGATGCATGCGATCCAAGCTGTTGGAGAGAAGGTCTGCATAGTTCTGTGTGTCCTGAAAGGATTCTGCGAGGTCTGACATTGTCTGAGGGTTGGGGCAGGCAGACGACGCTCCGCTGAAGGCGCGGCCGTGAGCCTGAGGGGCGGCTGCATGCTTTCATCCACAGTCGTTCTCGGCAGAGGCCACGAACAACTGGCTGAGACAAGCGACGAGCCAGCTCGCTGAGGAGAAGGACGAGTAGAGTGGTGTGGGCAAGGCCTCCGACACCACAATGGTTCTGTCGGAACTCTTTCTCCTTTCCTTCGCTGCCCTAGAGCTTCCATCCAACATCTACGTCTCTCTTAGAAGTATCGAACAAGATACCTACAACATCTGGGTGCACGCATTCAGAGCACTAAAGCAGCTCCCCCCCCCCCCCCCCCCCCCCCCCACAAAGAGAAGCTCTCCTTTAGGGCCCCAAAGAAGCCCTATATTGAGGGATATCCCTATAAAATGCTTAGGCTTATGGGCGTTTTGAAGTCCCTAATCCTCGTCTCCTGTGCTCCGGAGCTCCCCCACCTGCCACTCCGGGGCCGCGAAGCGGCACGTTGCCCAATGGCCCATACAGAAACCTTGGACTCGGACAGCTTCTCCCTAGGATTCCCCACCAAAACCACAGCAGCAGCAGTATATACATGTATTTTGTTCCTATTATTATATCATAGTTTCTATAGTGTTATGGTATAACATAGTAATGCAAGAAGAAGAAGAAGAACAGCAACAACAACAACAACAACAACAACAACAACAGCAGCCACGATGCAAACGGCGACGACCCGGGCGTGCGTGTGATTCCTGCAGTGACGGGCGAGGATGCCTGGGAATCCCGCCGTTCACAGCATCCGCCACTGGGCAAGGAGATCTCCGGCTGTGCCCAGGCAGGGACATCAAAATGGCCTGGTGATTCGAAGTGTTGTCAAGGCTTTTGGGGAGAGCCACTCCAAGCTGGAAGAAGTAGAGCTCTAGGGATGTCATGCAAAAGAACATGATGCCTGTAAACTGGAAAGGATTGCCTTCCCGTGGTTTCGCTTCTCTGTCAACTTCACAGCCAGTCGTTGTTGCTGGTTCCAGGAGTGTTGCACAGAATCGCCAGGTTTAGGGGTTTAGGGTTTAGGGGACAATCAGAATGCAGGGAGCCCTGCTTGTGAGAGTCTGAGTGGCCGGCTGACGAAGGCAACCGTGTCGCCATCTTCCAGCCCTGGGTAGGTGACCTAGCAGCTTATGCAGCTGGCCATCGTGAGGACGCAGGATCCTCGAAGCATTGCTTCCTCAGTTTCTTTCTGATGCTATCTGCAATGCCCCGGCCTTTAAATTTGGTCGACCCGTCTCAAACTCCAGCACCTGCGCGAAAGCAAGCAAGAGCAAAATATATCTGGTGTCAATCAAACATGGCTTTCCCTCCCAGTAGCCTCTATCTTCAAAGGGCCATGGCTGCCGGCGAAACAGGCCAGCTCGTCCTGGCAGTGAGCCATTTTTCTCGGCCAGCCGGGAGGCAGCCGACTCGCAGACTCGCTAGCGCCGATGCAAGCGAGTCTGACAACAAGAGCGCTCTGTGCTTGCCAGCATGAAAGCTTTGGTGTGCAAAGGGAGGTGAAGTCGATGTCAGCGTAAAGAAGAAAGGCAGGACGCAATCCACGACTTATCGAACAATCACCATGCAGCCCTGTTCTCTGGTCCTCGACCAGAGTTGCTGCAAAGTGCTCCTTCACGAAGGCAAGCAACAGAGCTAGTCTGTGGCAGCACATGCCTCGTTGAGAGCCTGCAACTAATCTCGCAGTGCCACATATCATATGCCAAGACTCACTTAATAGAGAAATGCCCCAAAACCCTCATACGACAACCCAAAACCCAAAAGTCCTTGGCTGGCCCATACTTTGGGGTCGTCTGAAGCCGACCCAGGCGAGCCTGGCAGGCCATCGAGGGCCGAGGAAAACTCAACTCGGATTGTCTGTTCTCCAAAAAAACTTTGGATCATGATCAATATAGGGGTCTGAAGAATTAGTAGTAGTATTAACAATAAATAGTATAATCGTATCCCTTGGAGCAGTTGTAGTGAATCGTGGTCCGTATTTGCCCTCCTTGTACACTGTTTAACTTCGTCCGCACGCTACCATGCCCAGGGTAGGCAAGAGGCGACCCCTGTTGGCATATCATATCCCAGATGGCTTGTAGGAAGACCCCTGCATCTATCCTGGCTGCACGGTTTCCGGGTTCGCGGGCACAGGCGATGCAGCACTGCGGTGCGATCGCCACTCATACTTACTGTAGTTTCTAGTTCTGCAATGGGGCAGCACCCATGAGGTGCCGGGCATGATATCGTGTCTGTCAATCAGCCTCGCGACATGTGTCACTAATACGCTGCGATTCGAGAGAGATGACAGCGACGGCGACGATGATGATGGTCATTGTCTGTCTTGCTTCTGAACTGATACCCCTTCCCCCTAGCACAGTCGGATCGCCTCTGCTAGAAATCTGGACAGCAGATCCAGGAAGGCCTTCTCATGAAGAACCTGCATGGAGCACATGGTCAGGCAAGCCGAACTACTCGCATCACAACGCTTCCGGAACTCGTTACAGAGAGAAGTTCTGAGAGAAGTACCATGCTAAATATGCACAGCTACGCCGCAATGGATCCGCAAAACTACTCGCGGAAGCCTGTCTCACGATCTGCCACCTCCGCTGCTGGCATGTAGGAGAAGTCCCTGCCGCCTGCATTCGCGCACCCAGACATCAACTCATCTCTAGCGGCTTCTTTCAGACTTGCAAACGCTGATCGTGACACAACTTGTAAATCCTGACTGAAAGGCCCAAAGCTTGAGTTTTTATAGTGCGCAGCTCAGTTGGCTTCCCCCACAAACATCGGAAATGCAAGAACAATCACTGAGAAAAGGGCGCCAACTCCCTCTCATCATCGACTGCATCGGCATCAACAATGAAAGCAGTTTCCTAACTGTCGCCAATCTCAATGCTGTGCTGATAACCCGGTCTCTCCCTTCGTCGTCCCCCTCCACATTCCTCATCCTCTCCCTCAAGCGGCAGCACCAATACGGGCAACTGCAGCAAGGACCGCCAACCACCGACAGCACCACCCCCACCACAAACCCCAACTGCACCTCACTGTGCGGACGACCCTGATCTCGAAGCTGATAACTACAATGCCACTGCTGCTGCAGTGGTTGGTATCTCAAGGGCCATGGCTTATTGCATACGGGCATGCCGATGTCCACCAGACAGGCCTCCCCCAGGAGGCGCCGTGACACGAAGCGTGCCGCATCTGGCCGGCGCTCACCCTGCACAAACGGGCGCGAGTTGCTTCGGATCCCAGTTTCGCAGACGCTGCTTAGCCACATGCCAAGCTTTCGGTGCTTTTCCGCAAAGACCCAGACCATTTTTCCAAGTCTGCAATATAGTAGTCTCTGCGTAGCTTTGCTTCAGAAAGCTACATGAGACTGTCAACTGAGTTCTTGCAGCTGCATCAAGACGCTCATGCATGCGATGTCGCCACAACACCGAATCAGTAATCGAAGTTTCGATCATCGACGTCGCGCCGCGTGGAGGAAGAAGTAGTCCTATGTTTGGGGGCATTATGTAGTGCGGCTGCTTTCCTGAATTTCAACTGACGGTTCCCCACAGGTATTGGATTTGTTGAATTGCCGCGGGTCAAAGCTCAGGTCGAAATCAGCGTGCAGGTTTCGGTGCTTTGCTTTGTGATGTCAACGCCAAGACAGCCGCCTCCAAACAGCCTATATACTCCAATCGAGCGTGATGCTGCTCCGAAAGATTACCCTAACACCCCTACCCTGACGCCACGACGGGCGAGACCCCTACCCCATATAACACCCCAAACTACCCTAAGATCCCTACCCGAACACCACGAAGAGCGAGACCCCTAGCCCTTGTAACACCCCAATCTCTATCCTAAGACCCCTACCCTAACGCCACGAAGGGCGAAAACCCAAACCTAAACCTAACGCCACGAAGGGCGAAAACCCAAACCTAAACCTAACCCCACGAAGGGCGAAAACCCAAGCCTAAACCTAACGCCACGAAGGGCAAAAACCCAAGCCTAAACCTAACGCCACGAAGGGCGAAAACCCAAGCCTAAACCTAACGCCACGAAGTGCGAAAACCCAAACCTAAACCTAACGCCGCGAAGGGCGAAAACCCAAGCCTAAACCTAACGCCACGAAGGGCGAAAACCCAAGCCTAAACCTAACGCCACGAAGTGCGAAAACCCAAACCTAAACCTAACGCCGCGAAGGGCGAAAACCCAAGCCTAAACCTAACGCCACGAAGGGCGAAAACCCAAGCCTAAACCTAACGCCACGAAGTGCGAAAACCCAAACCTAAACCTAACGCCGCGAAGGGCGAAAACCCAAGCCTAAACCTAACGCCACGAAGGGCGAAAACCCAAGCCTAAACCTAACGCCACGAAGTGCGAAAACCCAAACCTAAACCTAACGCCGCGAAGGGCGAAAACCCAAGCCTAAACCTAACGCCACGAAGGGCGAAAACCCAAGCCTACCAACCCCAAATCCTAAACCCCCGAAACCCTAAAGGCTGCACTCTGGGGCCCTCAGCAGGCCAAGAGAAGGGCGCCAGGGCGAAGATGACGATGATGTAGTAGTAGTAGTAGTAGTAGTAGTAGTAGTAGTAGTAGTAGTAGTAGTAGTAGCAGCAGCAATCGTCGTAGAAGCAGAAGCAGCAGCAGCAGGAGGAGGAGGAGGAGTAGTAGTAGCAATAGCAGTAGAGTCCACGTCAAAGTTTAGTGCCTATGGGAACAATTCCTTTCGGTGGGTTCCTTACTATAACTATAGTATAATATACACAGAAACCATATTGAAATTATTAAGGCCTCTACATTAACCCAAAGCACAGCAAACCCTGGTCGCCTCTGTCTCCGCAAAGCCCAAGCCGCGGCCCCGGTGCAGGGGAGCTGCGAGTGGCGCAGAAGAGGACTTGGCCTGCAGAGATCTGCAGGCTTTACCCAGAGAGCCCAAGGGGCCCCTTAATTCAGGAGTAACAAGGGTTCCTTTAAGGGATCTATAAGGGATCTGTCTATAGGGCTTAGGGCTCCAATACCCCTGAATTAAGGGATATACCAAGCCCTATATATTTCAAGCCATATTCATTAATTAAGAGAGGTATTGGGCTCTCTGGGTAAGGACTACGGAACGAGAGTTTAAAAGCTTGGCATATAGAGACTTGAGGAAGAATCTGGGAGTAGGATTTGGGGATTGGGGCCTTGGACTGAGTAGGGCTGAGGAAACACAGAAGTGTGTAAGACGAGATGGTGGTCTTCTAAGAGATTCGCTGCTTGATGTAATGAGTTGAGAACCCGACACTTAGATGCTAAGGAGCGCCAAGCTGTAGCACGTGGCTGAAGGGTCTAGAGCACGCTGGCAGAGAAACGGAGAGTTTGCCCGGGCTCTACTATGTCCTAGTTTGAACCAGCCTGACTCTGCTCCTCAGACTCAGGGGACGTCACAATCCATAAGGAACGGAACCAACGGATGAACGGAACCAACGGATGCCGGCGGAACTAAAGTAACTAAAGTCCTCCGCTCCAAGAAAGCCTGGCCGGCGTCAGGTTTCCTGGAAGAGGACTTCGGGTGGTAGGGGTGCGCATGCTGATGAAAGATCTCATTCAATTCCAGGATGTCTTCGCGCCAGCTGCTGCAGAAACTGTCGTGGCAGTTGCGCTCTCTGAGAAAAGACCCTCGCCGCATGGCATGCAGTTTTCGGGAAATCATTCGCTGACGGTCCCGCTTGGATTGGAACTCTTCCAGCGCAGACTGCAAATGGCAGCACTCTAAAGAGCCACAAACCCAGAGACTCCAATATCCCTTAATTAGGGAATATTGCTTAAATCATATTTGGGATCCTACTGTGATTTATGGTATATTCCTTAATGAACTATTGGAGTCTCTGAGAACAGTTTGTGAACCTCCCTCCATTGGCCCGGTGAGGGCCCATGTGCACAGTTTTGGTGAAGCGGTCCCAACAACGAAGGCCAAACATCAAAACCGAAGCTCCTTTGCAGTTATGCTACAGATATACAGTATCGGTAAGTATTAAGGCCCCTATAGCTCAAGGATAACCTCTGCGGCTGAGGCAGGAACACTGCATACAGTAGCGCCAGGGCCTCTCTGAAGTTCCGTGTTCTCTGGATCTCGGGCCAAACCGACAGGAACAAGCAATCAGAACAAGGTAAACCGTCTTTCAGTCCCGGATAAACTTATAAACCCAAACCCTCAACCCTCAACCCTTAACCCAAACCCTCAACCCTCAACCCTAAACCTCAACCCTAGAGACCCTGCAGCTAGAAATCTAAGCCAAAGGCTCCGGAAGCCGCCTTCGAATCTGCCTTGCCCAGGAAGAAGCGCACAAAGCCGCCAAGGCAGCCGAGCGAGGTGCCCAGAAGAGTGCCCTTCCTTCCGTGGGACGCTACATTATTCTACGATAGTATAGTAGAGTATGAGTGTAGAGTATGCTCGTATATGTTGTAGAGTATGAGTTGAGTAGAGTATGATAGTATATGAAGTAGGGCATGAGTCTGGTAGAGTATGAGGCTCTGGTATGCTCTGAGTTTCACCCTCTCGTGCTGAACCCAGGTCCCGTTGAAGTCCGGGAATCTGGCCAATAGTCGGGGGGTTGGCTCTTGCTATAGGGGCCTGAATTTTTGCCAATACTATTTTAGGGGTTCCTTATTATAATTATAGTATAACGGGCCCCAAGACCCTATTCTACTTATGAAGGCGCCTATATTAGGTGGGTTAAGTCCCTCCCCTCCAGGCGCTCCCAGAATCCGAGATCCCCGACTCTGAGCTAAACACTTTATGAACCCAACCGGGCAAGGCAAGACCATGAGAAAATTGAAGGGTACATCTTTCTGGTCTGCCTCCGCCGTAAAATTGGAAGATTCCGTACTGGTTCATGGAAAACCCAGAAAGGCAAGATCGAGGCGAGTCGCCCAGCCGCAAGCGTCAAGGCGGTGACATTGGCCATGGTGCATCATGAACACCCAGGAGGCATAACCGCGTGCGTGCTTGTATGCAAAGACTCCCCTGATCTCCGAAGCTACAACTCTAATTTTGTCGTTGACTGTATCATGGCCACGCTGTGACCTGAGCTCATCCCACTAGATTCGGCGCCCGACTTTAGGCTTCATGTGATTTGCGTAATGCATCGCAAGGCAGCATGGGTATCATGAACACATGGCTGGAGAAAAAGCAGCACACCGGTGATGGAGATACCATCGCAGCAACGAGAGTTATCGACATTTCGTCGTCACCGATTGTGCGGAAGCACGGCATGCATCTTTCCGCAAGGCATCGGCAATGGTACTTAAATACCGGCGAAACCACGAAGTCTTTTTCGACTCTAGATGCGGCTGATTCGCATTTGCCGTCCTTGCGCTGCTTTTCAGCGCAAGCCTGGGTGCCTGAGAGCAGCGTGAAAGGACACGAGAGGTCGCTTGGGAGCGACTTGTGTATGTATATATGTATAGGCATACTTGCATACATTTACATGCACATACATACATCTATATGTATGTAGGTATGTATGTATGTATATGTAAACATAATATTTGATTATTATGTTTATTTTTATTATTATATATCACACATGGACACTCACAGACACACACACACACACATATATATATATATATGTATATATATGTAAACACGGGTTAAGATTTTTCGCAAGGTACGGATAAGAATCAAAGAGCACTTTTGTTACGTAATGAGTGATATATATATATATATATGTACATATATATATATATATATATGCTTTACGGCTTCAAGGCTTTCGCGGACGGTTTAGCAGGATTATTGCCGCGCGGCCCGTTAGCAAGATATTTGCCGCGAAATAGCTTTTTTCATGGATGATCAAGCTGACCAAGTACTTCTTTCTGTTCTATGGCAAGTTTGTAAAGAATGCTTTACGGCTTCAAGGCTTTCGCGGAAGGTTTAGCAGGAATATTGCCGCGCGGCCCGTTAGCAAGATGTTTGCCGCGAAATAGCTTTTTCATGGATGATCAAGCTGACCAAGTACTTCTTTCTGTTCTACTGCAAGCTTGTAAAGAATGCTTTACGGCTTCAAGGCTTTCGCGGACGGTTTAGCAGGATTATTGCCGCGCGGCCCGTTAACAAGATATTTGCCGCGAAATAGCTTTTTGCATAGATGATCAAGCTGACCAAGTACTTCTCTCTGTTCTACGGCAAGTTTGTAAAGAATGCTTTACGGCTTCAAGGCTTTCGCGGACGGTTTAGCAGGATTATTGCCGGGCGGCCACGTCTGTAAACACAGAGCTGCCTGTGTACATATACATCGTAATCTATACTCATACACATGCACACGATGTGTTTTAGTGTTTGTGCGTGCATGCTGCCAGCAGCCTTGCTTCCATGAAGTACTCGGACAATATCATCTGAAGTTGCAGACTAGAAAACCATCTGTTCTGTCTACGACGTTCCGCCCGCCGACCATCCCCTCTTAGCAACCCAAAAACTCCGAGAGATCCTCTGGGACCGGGGGAACTGCCCGCACTTTGGCGAACTCCAGCTGCCTGATGCAGACGCCATCGGGCCTGAATCACAGAAAGCTTGCACGGACCAAGTGTTGCGTGGCGACGCCCAGGATGCCCAAAGTGTCGGAAACCCGACATGTCAGTTCCGCGACAGCTGTCTGGCCTGATCGAGGCCGACAGCATTTCGTCGAGCACGCGCTGTGCCCCCGCTGAGTCTTTTTGCCTTCCAGCTTTCTTGCATCAAAGCCCCGTAGCTTCGCACCCTTAAATTCGACACGACTTGGGGATCCCAGGGCCCAACGTGACTCGTGCGGTCATGCACTGGCCAGGACCATGCAAAGGAAGGAGTCGCTCAGTCGCTTAGGCTCAGGAGAGGTGCACTCGCAGCCTGGAGTATGCAGAGATGAGAGCTGTGCCGCTTGCGAGCGTGGGCCTCGGCTACGCATCCGCAACGGAAGTCATCCTCTTGGCCCTCACACTTTGGTGCACTTCAAGGCTTCAAGGTCGGGTGGCTGTCCCTGCAATCGGAAGAGCTCCAGGGCACGCGGCAGCTGCTGAGCCTGCCATCTCGGATCTCCCTCTGTTTGCGCCCTCACAGCGAACAGCGTGTCTACATCGGCCAACGACACGCTCTTCGACAAACATTCCGATGTCTCACACAATTCTCGTCACATGTTTGCGGCTCCGCCTTAGCCTGCGCCGATATGAGTGTGGCATAGGTCGCCGAATTCGGCTGCAGACCTGAGCAGGTGGCACTTGCGCTTGGGCTTTCCAAGCTAGAGATTTGCGTATGTTCACGGCAGGCTAGTTATCATTGCATCTTTACCCAGGGTCCCTGGCTGTGCTTTTGAATCTGCGCCAGCACTTCATCGGCGCCACGTGCATCCCTTGCCTGTCCGAGTACGCCCACCGGCATCGTTTTCAGCTTCTGCAAAAAGGCACGCCCCAAGCCGCAGCAACACAGACGCAGTTGTCCGAAGCGCATGAGCGGTGCTCTGCATGGCCTTTGCATAGGCTTTCATCAAGGCAGTGTACGAAGCCAGGTTTGGCCTCGACCTCTGCCCAGGATGCAACGCATGCTTTCGCCACTCTTGTACCAGCTTAGGCCAGCTGTGGGGCCGCGGCTGCTTGCTGAGCAACTCGAAAGCATCCTTTGCACCACGGACATCGCCCGACCTTGCAGAATTCCACACTTCAGTGCCGCTGCTGCCTTTCTCAAGCTCCTACAGTAGTCCTGGTAGTCCTAGCATGAGACACCACACCCACGACCTCGGGCAAAGGCATGGCATATGCATTGATAAGCAGTGTGAAGCCCACCTGTGCCAAGAGCTTGCTTGGATTTTTCCGAAGGCACCAGCAAGTTCTGCTCTCCCGCGACGCCCAGTGCCCTACCCTCCACGCCTCGTTTAGCCTTCCCTCCACGGCCAGGAGCTGGGCACCGGCCTGGTCGCCGGCCGCGATGCGTGCGCCTCGCCCCGGCGGCGCAAGTTGCCGGGAAGAATAGGGGCCAAACTCTTCGGATCTCAGCGAACTCTGAGCTCACGGCGGAGCAAAGCAGTGTAGGTCACCTGGAATGGAAACATAGGCCCAGAACCATCAAAAGTATCCAGAAGTCTGGTGGAGATGGTCACGCGCAGTCTTCAGGTCTTTGTCTCTCTGTGTCTTACCATCCATTCCCTTTCTGGACAGCTTCCGTAGCTTGCAGGGCTTGAAGGGTCCCTGAAAAGTCCCTTTTCAGACCTTCCGGCATGGCTCCCAGGCCTCGTTGGGCTCTAGCCTTGCAGGTCGCATCGCTTCGAAGGCCTGGAGATTCCCCCACAGCAAAGGGGTCTGGGTTTAGGGTTTAGGGTTTAGAGGTTTAGGGGTTTAGGGGTTTAGGGTTTAGCCCCAGATTCTCCTTGTGCCAGCCGTAAGATACGGGGCTGGTTCGTTCCCGGACTTGGTTCGAAAGCATCGCATTCTTATTATAGTCTTTCAAGAATTAGTTGAGCCATCGCAGGTCATGCCTGACAATCAAGTGAAAGTTCAACCGGAGGTGCACGAATGCGAAACTCACTTGACCGTTTTACAGTTGAGGGCTTTAGATTGTTTTGGAGCCTTGTGTCCTATGATTAGGTGGGACGGACTCGCAGGAGTTGCTTATCCGTTCGGGATGCGGAGGTTGTCGGCCCTTATGAAGATCTCAGGTTCAGCATATGCAGGTCTGCCCGGCTCGCCTCCGCAACTGCGGGAGTTTCTTTTTCCATCATCGAAGGGCGCGCTGCGTGAGTTGGTCTCCGCTGCCATCTTCTTGTGGCTCCGCTCCCAATAAGCTCCAGGTGAGCTCATCCTCTCCGACTGCAAAGACTACAGTAGCCTTCAATTCCAGAAGCAAGATCCTTCTTCTGGCACTCGGAGTACAGGGCCGTCACCTATAATATGAAAGGCAAAAACCCTGAACCCGAAATGTCAGAAGCCGGAGAGGAGAAGCCTCGCCCGCATCACAGTTGGGGTGTCGCATTTCGCGTTCAGCTGCGACGGCTTTGGAGGTCCAAGGGCTCAAGAACGCACGCAGTGCCCATTACTGTTGATGGACAAAATCCTGCATTACCCTTTATAAGGAATATACCATAGTTCCCATAGTTTAGAGTCCTTAGGGTCATGCAGGATTTTGTCCATCAACATTATCACCGGAGTTTCCAAACGGAATCCGACAAGGATGGAGGGCCTGGCCCTCTCTAAGGGCCAACCATCTCGCTCTGGGAATCATCACTCTAAACGAACCAAAAACATATGAGGAACGTATACAAAACGGCTAAGAGAGCACATCTCCCACTTTGAAACTCTTGCAAGACTTGACAGCCTGGTACCTTCGCTCCAGGCTAGCTAAGGACACATCTTCTACAAGGCTTCGAGAACACAGTCCGAAGAAAGAAACCTACCATGGCTTAGGGCTCAACTCCACTGTCTAAAGTAGGGCCTTAAAAATTAGAATAGAGTTTTGCTGGGGGTCCTTATTATGCATATGGCATACTATCCCCCCCAATCCTATTCTAATTATTGAGGCCCCTACATTACTGCGAGCTGTAGTTTGAAGCCTTGGTGAAACTCGCACCCAGAGAGACCAATACCCCTTAATTCAGGAATATGGCTGAAAATATAGAGGGCTTCATATTATGATTTAAGCTATATCCCTTAATTAAGGGCTATTGGGCTCTCTGGGCACCCGTCCGGCCCGAAAGTCTCTTGCGCTTGCGGCAGACTTCGAGACCGCCTGGGTCTGCTGGGGCCCCTTTAGGGGTTTAGGGGTTTAGGGGTTCAGGGGTTGAGGGGTTTAGGGGTTGAGGGGTTTAGGGTTTGGGGGTTTAGGGGTTTAGGGGTTTAGGGTTTAGGGATCTGCCCCAAGAAAACACCAAAAGCCTTGGGACATTGGAGTTTGGGACTCTTCAAAAGCCCTCAGATCGGGCTCTTATGATGGGCGGCCAAAAGGGTGGTTTAAGATTCTTGGGGTAGGGATTCCTTAATATGAACCCAATTATTGGAACCCTAATCCTTACTAAACCCCCATAGTCTAAAACCCCTTTTGGCCTCCTATGCTCTTAGAGCACCATCCTATGCGGCTCTGCTCCGGTGTCTTCCTCTCCATCCGGACCTTCGCAGCCAGGGGCTTCCAGGACCTAGAGAGCCCAATAGCCCTTAGTTAAGGGATATAGCTTAAATCATAATAGGAAGCCCTGTATAATTTAAGCCATATTCCTTAATTAAGGGGTAGTGAGCTCGGGGGACAGCTCTCTTCTTGAGATTTGGCTGCGCGACCCCAATCTGGGATTTGTAGACCAGTGGAAGCCTACACGTCTGCATCGGCTGTGCACCGGTCTCGAGTCTGGGCCGAGGCAGCGTGGGAAAGTTTGAGCAACTCTGAAGTTGAAGCAAGCCACCGCAGTCGACGCGCACCAGCACGGAATCGGCCTGGATCAAAGCTGCGATGCGAAGGCTGTACTTCCACGTAGATTCAAGCGATTTCGGAGAACTTGGCAGAGCACTCAGAGAGTCAAGTCAACTGCTGAGGCCCAAAACCTCGTAGTTTGGAGGCCGTAGCGGGCCCTCCTGGGGCAGCTGATCTGCACCTGAAAACTGCACTGTTCGGAAACCAGAACTTAACTCTTCATGCAGGTCGAGTATACGATGAATTGACCTACGCCAGCTAGCTCTTCTAAGGGAAAACACTTCGAGCACGGCTTCTGCACATGATGACGGCCTTCCGCGAAAAAAACCTTCAGCCTCATGATCCCAGCCTTTTCAAGCTTCTTGAAGGACACACTTCACACGCTCACTTGTAGATGCTTCAAACTTGTCCAGCTTGGATCCCTGCGTTGTGCAAACGCGAAGGTCAGCCTGCACAAGGCTGGCGGGAATGACAGCCTAATTACGCCAAACTTGAACTCTGTCTGAAACAGTCTATTCAATTGAAACCCGATTGAAACCTTATTGCATTACCTGTTTATGCTGGTCAAATGCGATTCTGTGTTTGCTGGTTCCCTTTACTTCTTCGGTTGTGACTGCAACAACAACGAATTTGACAAACATAACGAGGCCGACGACAGCGCAAACGATGACCACGACTATGACGAAGAGGATGAAGACGACAAAGAGTACGACGATGGCAACGAGGACGACGACGGCGACTACCAAGCCCACGTCCTGGACACACCCACAACTACCAGACCCCCACCACACAACCACACCACCAGCACCACCGCAGCCGCCACCACCACCACCACCACCACCACGATGCCCACTGCCACCGCTACGACGATGACGACGACAACTACGACGACCACTGAGGCGAGTAGTAGTAAGGAGGAGGAGGAGGAGGAGGAGGAGGAGGAGGAGGAGGAGGAGGAGGAGGAGGAGGAGGAGGCGGAGGACGACGAGGACGGGGAGTAGTGGTAGCAGTGGTGGGATTTTGTCGTAGTAGTGGCAATAGTAGCAATAGTAGCAGTAGCAGCAGCAGCAGCAGCAGCAGCAGCAGTGGCTGTGGCTGTGGCTGTGGTACTTTCTGTGACAGCAGTGGCAGTGGCAGTAGAAGTAGCAGCAGTAGCAGTAGCAGCAGTAGCAGCAGGCTTCTGCGCAGAGTTTTGTCTTGTCTTGTCGCTCTTCCCATGGAGCTAGTTGCTATCTGAAACGCCCTTCTTTCAATGGGCCTCAGCAGGCCGGGTGCCCGATGGTGCAGTGAGGAGACAAGCTCTAATGGCGGCCTCTGGGCGCAGGGAATCCGGCGTGTTGTGGTTTGATCGGGTTTGGGCTTCTTTGAAGATCTAGGCTGATGTGGCGAAGGATTCAAGGATTTCATGACTGCGGGCTTGACAGGCCTGGCTTGGGCACGTTATCTTCCAATTCTCAAAATTCCTCCACCACAGAAAGTAGTTCCTTCGGAGGTCGGAGGAGCTTTTGAATCAAGCAATGCCTGACCTGGGAGCCTCAATGATGGGTCCCTCCACTGCAACTGCGACTGCTTGCTGTATGCGACGCTCTTAGACAGAAAGCAGACATACTTCACGGACATACTTCTGCTTCTACGACTTCTGCTATGAGGCCCACCCAACTCCGCGAATGGCTGCGGGAGTGCCAAGTAATCCTGGTTCTGCTTAGCTAAGCCCCGCGCTTCGTCTCTCCATCCACTGCAAGCAGAAGATCGCCTCTTCTGACCTCAAGGCTACACGCCGGTAGTCAGGGTTTTTTGAGGGTGGGAAGTCTCAGTAGATTCTTCAGCAGACAAATTGTCCTGGAATATATTGGATTTGTAGTGCTTTGACGCTCCGCAGTAGCTGGGTCCGCAGCAATTTGTTCCTGGGCACACCTCCGTCAAAACATCCACTCGCCGCTTCTTCTTGCAGTTGGTCTATCTGGTTTTTGGTCGGGCTGTGCTGGGCTCCCGCCACATTGGGGCTACACAAGCGCCATGGCACACAGGCAAGAACGACTCTGTGCATCGTTGGCTCGTCATCTATTTGTTCCCTCCCTCTCCCCCTCTCACCTTTTTGCTCCCTCAACTCCCTCTTCCACTCTACTTCCGTCGCCTCCCTTCTCCCTCTTCCTCTCCGTGTCTCCGTAGTTGCTCCGGGTCTACGCATAGGGCTCCAGGCACCCACAACCACACAAAATACTGAACGGCAGCCTCGCCTCTCGGGACAAAAATCATACAACGGATCGGGCCTCAGGTTCCATCGGTGGAGCAGACTGCCTCAGAGTACCAAGAGGAGTTTCTGAACAGCTCGAAACGTCTAGAAGGGCCAGATCTTCAGAGGCTAAGGCCCGGTATGCTCAAACGCCTCCCAGGGCGCTACCTATGCGCCTGGCCTGGCCGAACATGCGCGACAGCCGCTCGATCATCGTCGACGTCCAGGAGGAGGCCCAGACCTATTGTCTCCTGCTCATGGCAGAGCACAAGCCATCCATAACTAAAAGAGGTTTTGGGGTATATTCTAATATAACCATAATAAGGAAGCCCCCGCAATAGAAGGGGTCAGAACTTCTTGGCTCCTGTCGGCTGTCGCCCTCGCTGTGATCGTCTGCTCAAGCTACACGCCGCTACAACATACGAGTTTGCAGGCGGCAGAGCTCCTCACCAACCACGACCTTGGCAGACGGTTACAATCTCGTAGCAGTTGCTGGGCCAGAAGAAACTCGAGCTTCCAAGCGCACAGCGAACTTTGACTGCGGCTGCACGACCACGATTCGAAGATTGGCTCAGCGGTCACTCCTAAGGTCTAGGTCGCAAGCGTCCACGACATAGGTGTTGCTCCTGAGCGTTTCCCATGGTGTTTCTCACGAGCAGCGAACAGACTTAAACTTGGAGTCAGGTCCCACACATCCGCAGTATAGCTGCTGCCAAGGGGCTCTACTTCTTGAAAACCAAGCTCTGACTCCTCGAGAGTCCTACGGACAGAAATAGCACGCGGCTGTCGTCATTTATTTCACCACTCCGCACGGCCCCGCCTGCGCCCTTAAGCGACATGTGCATATTAGGTAAAGCATCCAAGCACTTCACGTACCCCTCGCCTGGAGCGCATGCTGGGCATCTCCGAAGGTGAAGCCGCGAACACCGACTGCAATGGGCTACATGGTGAGCGAACCGGCGTTGGCAGTAAAACATTAAGAAGCATTGACCTGCTGGCTTAATGGATTATCTGCAACAACCAGAGAAAAGCAAAAAGAGAGTTGCGCACGAAGCTTCGGGTTTGTTTATGTGCTTGCGCAACCCTTCGAGTGTGGATGTGGGCGGAAGGGCGTCCCTTGCCGCCAAGCCGCGATGTCACCAAGTGGAGCGAGGCCCATGCGAGTGTGCCTGGGGCATTTCGCACCCTGTGAGCTCAGCTTCGGGCAGCATTCTATCCCTCCGTGAGGGCCCACTGCCGTAGGCATAGACGATTCATGGCCTCGCCTCGTTTCAGCGGGCCGCTCCTGGAACAGGGCAGAAACAGCTCAAGCTATGGCCTTATTCCTGCTGGGACTACCAAACGTTTTGCTGCAACATCTTCAACCTTGATCGCCATCGTCACATCATCACCTTTGTCACATCAGCAATGGCAGTAATCATAACCACATATTATAACTGCCATTGCTTCGGCATCGATCATCTGTATAAATGCGATGCACGTCATTCTTCTAAAACTAGGGGGACCGCCCCTGAAACGCTGGCTCTCTGGATGGTTGGGTCCTGGGGCACGCTCATGTCAAGGCATCGCTTTCCCTCCTGAGATTTCACTGAAGGCTACCGTACTACGAGCAGCCGCAGCAGCATGCGCAGGAGAATCGTAGTAGACGGAGTAATCATAGTTGTCGTAGGAGTCGTAATCGTAGTCGTCGTCTTCGTCGTCGTACTCATACTCGTGGTCATAGTCTTGGTCGTCGTCGCCGTCGCCTCGCCGTCGCCGTGGCCCTGGCAGTGGCAGTCGTCGTCGGTAGCAGTAGTAGTAGTAGTAGTAGTAGCAGCAGCAGTAGCAGCGGCAGCAGTGGCAGAAGCTGGATACCAATAAGGACCAGGATTAGGAGTAGGAGTCAGTAGGAGTAGTCGCCGCGGCAGCCATGTTGCTTAAGTCCAACAAGACTGCTAGGAGGATAGGGGGAGAAAATCCCAGAGAACTCCTGAAACGTTCGTTACATGCAGATTCGTCATGGCCTTCGAAGGATGGAGTCCGATGGAGCATGCGGGAGGACAGAAGGGTGCACAGAAAAGCGGACTTGGCATGACGCCCAATACGTCAAGCCGCATCGAGGACGCTGTCGTGCAGCTCAGATGAGCTCTCATTCGGCTCGTCCTCGAGAATCACATATCGCATAAGAAAGTATAACAGGCTATCATATACTATGATATACGGCCCTCACACCGGCAGCCCTGGCTACGAGAAACGGTCCGCATGCTGTGTCAGTTCATCACCCAGCGCATGGCGAAAGACCAGGAAACGACCCCCATCTCTAAATGCGACGAGCGGCGGCAACAATGCGCCTTGGAGGGAAGGGCTGTGAACTTTGGAACAAGACCAGAGTTTCAGATCCCCGAACCCTCAAAACCCCACGCCGATGAAGCCCAAACCCCCTCAAAAAAAGAATCCGAAACACCGAAAACCCGCAAACCTCGAAACCACCAACATACCAAAACCCCACAACGTCAAAACGCCTCTCCCCCTCCAAAAAAAACTAAACCCACAACAACCCCAAACCCTGAAGAACCCTAAGCCCCTAAAACACACCGGAACAGCCCCAAACCCACCAAAATCAGGGGCCTTAGAAGGCGGGTTGAAGGTGGGGTACTTCCAGAATACGAATCCTTATATGAGGGATCCTTGATCCTACCTACCTTCAGCCCATCATTTGAGGCCTCCGACAAAACAAAAGGAGGGTTGTTTGGATCAAAAACACGCAACATAAAAACTAAAAAAACAAAAACAACAAAACATGAAATTACAAAAAATCAGGGAGTGATGTTTGGATCAAAGCGTCTCAGAGGGAGCCTCGGTGGAAGAGCCGTCGCCGAAGCAGGACCTGGGCTTTGGCGGGGTTTAGGGTTTAGGGCTTGGGGTTTGGGGTGTCGGGTTAAGGGTTCAGGAAGTTTAGGGCTTGTGGGGTTAGGGGTTTGGGGCTTGGGTCTAGGGTGTGGGGTTTAGGGCTTTAGGGTTTAAGGTTTGGCGCTTAGGGCTGAGGGCTCATGGGATTTAGGCAAACACTTGCAAGTGCACATGTCTGACGGTGAAGTGTCATCCACAGTCTAAGGGGTGATAGTCCCGGTACACGCATATTATCCCCAAACCCCTGAGTCTGATGGCATGTCAGAGATGACCGAAAGACGTCAGCGCCAAGAGCACCCTGCTCAAGTATGGAAAATTTGATATTTCCTTGTTGTGGAACACGCAGGGTCTCCTCCGTAAACCGTCGGCACCCCTCTCTTCTGCAGTTTCCTTCGGCTGGGCGAGTTGCCTCCGCAGCACCAAGGGGGCCGATAGGGCAAGACTTCCTGGAGAGAGCAGCGCTGTCACCAACTGATTGTGATTATGATTATGATTTTAAGTACTAGTAGTTGTATTGTTACCATTACTGTTGGCATTAGAACTAGTACTATTAGTGTTAATGAGCTCTCTGGCAAGATGGGGGTGATGTTTTGTGCTTCCACGGGCTTTCGCGTGCCAACCTTCTTCTGGGACGAAAGCAAGGGGCTCTGGTTTCGAACTGGGCTTGGGGTTTGGGGGTGAGGGTTTTAGGGTCGAGGCCTGCACTGCCGTATCCAGCACAATAAAACCAAAAGTTGGCCGAGGCGAATAGCGTTATCTTCGACACTTCCGCGATACCACGCACTACATTTGGAGGATAAGTTGGCAGGTCCAACTTCTGAGTGATCCAAGTTGGCCCTGCCGCTCCTCCCGACTGCAGCGTGAGACACTTCTACCAGCTCAAGCTTTGGACCTACCAACTGGTTCTGCGTTAGCCTGCAAGCGAGAACGCGGAATTGTTGGAAGGATCACGAAATTTGGCAGCGGTCAGTTCCTGCAGCATTTGAAGAAGCAGCACAGCCGGTGTTGTCAACATGTCCACGAGATCCCACAAGTGTATGTTATGACAACTATGACAGCCCATAACAATGCTGGGACAAGTGGTAGGGACCAGCTCTTTGGAGAAAAAAGGTGCCAAAATGTAGGTCCTACTCATGCGAAGCAAATCAACCACCTTGCCTCTTCCGACCGAAGTACGCCGTAAACCCAAAGCCCTCCTATATGTCAATTCATCCAACTTGTGAAAGCGGCTCCACAGCCTCGGTCCTTGTACTGGCAGCAAGCTCGGCATCAAGTCCGGCCCATGCGCCGAGACTTCCTCGTGATGGCTACCACAAACCCGGTACATGCAGCTTCGGATGTAGAGTGTCGCGTGCGCGGCTTGGGTCTTCAGGTTTCTGCTATTCGGTACTTAGGGCCGCATCTGCGACAGTCCACTCAACATTGAGAATCGTCACAAGCTGGTGATGATGATTCTTTGTACTGCTAGCCTTAAGCCTAAGGGAGGGTACGATGGGCGAGGCCTAGCACCGCTGCACCGTGCATGGACATGCGTGCTGATCCAACCGATCTGTACCAGGGTCTGCATCAGAGTTTAATGGGCAAGGGGATTATGGCCGTTGACTGCGTAGTGCGGTGGCTACTTGGAAAACGTCTTTCCTCACTCTTCCACCGCGCCTCTGTCTCCACCACACCTTTATGGCTGCCATCGCCGGCGGCCTTCCAGCTAAATGGGGTTGAGAGTATGCACATGGGTAGGCCCGTTGCGGGAAGCAGCATGCGAACTAAAGCATGTATGGATCTTGGCTGTTCAACGACAGGAAACCGGACCGCACAGGGAACTCAGGGCGATGCCATCATGCAGCAGTTGCTGCTGAAACAGATCATGATGCATCAACATGCACGGCGCCAATCTTCGGTTACTCTTCTGGTTTGTGGCTGGTCCATGCTACTGAGGGTGAGAGTTGGCTGGCGCAAGGGGAGGGATAAGTTTGGGTGGGCGGGGTGGGCTTGGCAAACTTTGAGGTAGGGGCGGAGAACTGGGCTATTGGAGAACATGAAGTTCGTGGCTCTTGGACCATGAGGTTCTGCTGTCCGCATGTGCTGCTGGAAAAAAAGCTGCGAGCACGTCACATCGGTCACCGAAGGCTACCCCTGCTTTGGTAACGGTCGGTCGCAAGGTGACCATGCCAATGAAATAGTAGTAATAGTAGTAATAATAGTAAGAATAGTACTAGTAGTAATTTCTACATGATGTCGCATTGGCTTCTCGAGCAAAGCACTGCTGTCAATCAATCTCTGCCTCTTCAGCTGCGGCGCTGTTCCCTGTCCATCAAGACAGTGGGATCATGCGGAGTGAGTCCCAAGCTCAAGAATTGCAAACGGCCTCAACACTGCCAAGTAGTCTATGTATACATATAGGTACATGTATAGGTACGTATATATCTCTCCCTATACATACATTGACATACATGTATATATACATATATATATATATGTACTATCAATACCTGTATCTGCATCTATATCTAGAACTTGATCTAGACCTTTATCTACATGCACATACGAAACAGCTGTCCCCTAATGAGATTACTGCTCCAGGCTTAGCGAGTCATGCCTGCGCGAGCGTGGGCTTCAATCAGGATCGTGTGGCCTGGATGCGAGCGATATTTTGCGGCTGCAAGGTGTAAGCTCACCCGAAAGCACCGCATGATATAGGGGCCATAATAATTCGAATAGGGTTGTAGGGTAAATTGTCGTATAAGTCTAACAAGGAAAATCCAAACAAGGAACCCCCAAATAAGTACTGGCAACTCTTTCGGCCCCTATATTAGCACGATTTCAACTCTCCAGTCTCGGAAAGGACAATTCTAAGCCTTCCGCTGATCACGCCAGGCCTGTAGCAGAGGAAAGCAAGGCGAACACGTGGCCCCCTGCTACTGAGGTCCCGGACACCATGCCATGATATACCATCATATACCATGATCTGCTAGAATATACTTAGGGAAGAAGGCCCCTGACCCATGATATACGATCATATACTATCATCTACTGCAGTATACTCAGGATTTTGTTGAGCGCCTTTTTCGATCTTCCTGATGTCAGACTTAGGTTTAGGATTGAAGGTTTCCTTAAACTTTGAGCTCCCAACCAGACCCCTTCAGCTGGCAGTGCTTCTCAGGACCGAAGTTGCCTCACTGTCGTCGCGACCATCTCGTCCATGACCTGCAAGCGCTCAGCTCTGCACCGTTTATCGAAATACCACCTCAAGGCAGAATTGAGCTTTGACTCTGTATCCTTTTCACAATTGAAAGTTGAACCCGCCTGAGGATATGGAAGTTTAAAGTTGGAACCGGGACCGATGGCGACACAGTCCAGAAAACTTTCGCGATCGAGACCAGGTTTCCAGGAATACCCAGAAATGTGTCAGATTTGCAAAAACTACCGTTGATGATGTTGATCAAGGTGCACGTGCCTGTTGGGCGCTTGCCGCATCTGCTTCTTTGGCAAATGCATCCAGGACAGTGTTGTAGCCTCAGCAGTTGACACTACAAGCATGCCCAGAGTGAGTCGGGCGGCTGGTGGCACAGGGGAAACAACCTTGGGTCCTGAACTCACCACGTCTGGTGTCACGAGATTTGCGCGCATCTCCTGGGCGGTGAAGCAAGACAGGAAGAAGGCAGGAGCAAAATCGAGCAGAATATGATGAGTTGTAGCACCGGCTTTTATGCCTACATACATACATACACACACATATATATATATATATACATATATACATACATATCTGTTCATGCATTTGATTAATTATTCGTTTCTCATTTATTTGTATGTGCATGCATGAACTGTGTCTGTGCATGCATGTGTGCAATGTAGCTGGCCCTCGGGATCTTGTAATGTGGGTGCAGCGGTGTTGTCCTTTACGGGTTTCAGCCAAAATGTCGGCTGTGTCGTGATCAAGACATATCACGACTTGCAGATAACTTCGGCCGACCCAGGTCCCTTGGAAGATTCTGGGCAAAGCGCCGAGGCTTCGGACATCTGCTGCTGTTGCACGGCTTGACATTTCTGTCTACCAGCATGTGCAGAGAGCATGTTTTCCTTAAAACCATCAAACCCCAATCCCGGAACCCTAAGACATATACTATCATATACCGTCATACACTATCATATACTGAAATATACTAAAATATACTATCAAAAACTGTAATATATTACAATATACTATCATATACTATCCTGTACCCTTGCTTTAAACTCCGCACCACACAGCTCCCAACCATCCTCGAGGCTGCGTCGCGCTTCCGCGCCGCCGAGGCCACGAAGGGCAAGGCTTTTGGCCCCGAGACCTCCTGGAAGGGTTTGGGGTTTAGAGTTGAGGGTTTGGGGTTTAAGCTTTGGGGTTTAGGGTTCAGGGTTTAGGGCTGAGTGTGGGGTTACGAATATATATATATATATATATATATATATATATATATATGATGCGTATATATAAATACTATAGAATTATGTACTTGTCCATCATGTGACATCATATGTAGAAATTTTAAAGCTTGTTTGCTCGAGTGCACACATATGTCATATGTGAGCCGAAGTTTAGGGTTAGGGAAAACCTGTATGGCTTAATAAGGCAAATTATAGCTTCAACCACAAACGACATAGGAATCTTCTTTGGGTCGAGGTATATCGATCTGACACGACAGATCGTTTGAGCCAAATCTAATACACAGAGCTGCCGAATGCGGGAATTCGACGCACATGCTTCAAAACTGGCTTTGCCGACAAGGAAATATTGATCTCCTTTTGCCGGGCCAGGCAATCCCGGCCCGGCCCCGCCCCCCCCGTGACCAAGTCCAGGCCCCTTGCGCACAAATAATTTGTACATGGGCCATGTTCGGGCCATTCCGGAGGGCCTGGGTCATTCCCGACCCCGACGTACAAATAAATAGCGCGCACGAGCCTCCAGGCTTGCCCTCGTGACCACCATGCTGCATCCGCTGCCCTCACCACATCGTTCATCATCCTAGCAACCGGACCTGACAACGAGGAAGCCCCTCAAACTCACGTCCCCCCATGCATTATTCGTGGAACCCGTGACACTGGCGTGCACCACTTAGAGTAAGGCAAGCAATCAGGAGAATGGCCTCCGGCTTTTTCATGTAGTTCCAACCACTCCTGGCAACAGCCACGTCGCGGGGTGACTTAGAAAACCGCACGGACGACATTCAGGGAGCAAACGCGTTGGCCTCGGATGTGAGGCTGCTGCCACCGACCACCTAAGCCATCGCACGGCGTCTCTCCCGATCTCCGCAGAGGTGCGCTCAAGTGGCCCTTGCGACACCACTTCTCTCAGTGAGGCACCAAGCGAATCTCGTTTGTCAGAGCACCACTGGCATCCTGAGAACATCCGCCAGTGCCGCTCATGTCCGAAGACGACAATCGAGACCGGCAGGGGGGCAAGACGTCGTGCTGTGTCTGAGCCGCTCGCCACGATGCAGATGCCGGGCTGCACCAGGCTGCTCAACCGGGCAAAAGCTGCTGGCGGCCTTGGGAGGAATGCGAGCTGTTCGACGTGGCGCTCAAGAGTGGAGGGATCTATGATTTGGCATCAGGAGACTGCAAAGTTCCAGTGAGTCTTAGGCGACATCTCCGGCAATCGGCTGAACCTTTCTATCGCTTGGTGCGTCAAGGTACGGCCAGCATGGAAAAGCGCAAAGCCAGACGTCGCCCTGGCAGGTGTTCGCGTGCATAGGCCAAGTTATGCTGTCCCACAACTTTGCCACCTTGCGTTACCATCAAAAAGCTAGGAGTACCTGAGCAAACTACTGATGTGCGGAAGGTTTCAAATGTTCTTAAATGGGAGTTTCCGAAAATAGGGGACCCTAATATAGCACCCAAAATGGCAGGATCCTTACTATAAGGATCCCCAAATCCGGCGCCCCAGAGACCTTTTATTCTAACCATCCGGCTTCGGGCCTGGTGGCGCTCACGGAGCAGCGGTGCAGAAGAGGGAAAGGAGCCAAGGTCCTGGATGGCTCGGCTGGGCCGAGGCCTTAAATTCCACCGACGCTAGTCCCCAAACCCAAAAAATATCGAAGCACGGTCCCCCCCCCCGCATGATCTCTACTACTGGTGCTGCTGCTCTAATCGACTCTAACCACCACACTCCTTGATGGCGCGAGCCCTGACCGCCGAGGCTTCTGTCTCTGGCAGCCTTTGATTGCATGATCCAGGTTCGGACTTGGGGTGTGGGAATGTCTTTTTGGAGCTCTCTCGCAATCTTGTTGAATTCAATCATAATTCTTGCCGCCCCTTCGAGCCATTATCGCTCGGCGGCTTCGGTTGGGGTAATGAGCTCCAGCTGCGATCTCTGTTTCCTTCTCTCTGCCGGGAAGCTTGCAGAAAGATGCGTCTCCTTCCCGATGCCATCCTAAAGCCTTCCTTTGCCAAGGCCTTTGGTGTGACCAACGAGCTTGCTGGACAACGGACCCTCCGACCGTCATTTCCCTACACACCCCCTGGCCTCGGTTCCTCAAAAGGCGGCAAGAGCACAGAAGTCCAATACTGATCGTCTGCATGGATATTGCAGCTATCTTCATTGAAGCTTTTGTCCGCTTTTAGCAGGTGCGCTCCACGAGCGAATGAAATTCAGGGCAAGCTCGGAAACTATTGTTGATCTTAAAACGGGAAGGGCGAGTGTATCTGAACAGCACTGTTCAGGGAGGAGTGCCTGTGCATAGACAACCATGTGGTGTTGGAGACAGGCGTACACAAACTTTCCGGAAGTGCTGCAACGGCGATCACGCATTGGACAAGACTAGTCCGTGGCGGGAGGCTAGTAGTGTCGTCGTCGCCGTCGTCGCCGTCGTCGCCGTCGTCGTCCTCGTCGTCCTCGTCGTCTTCCTGGTCGTGATTGTGGTTGCAGTCGCAGTCGCAGTCGGAGCAAACGGTAGTGGTAGTGGTAGTGATAGTAGTGGTGGTAGTGGTGGTAGTGGTGATAGTGGTGATAGTGGTGGTGGTAGTGGTGATAGTGGTGGTGGTGGTAGTGGTGGTATTGGTGGTAGCGGTGGTAGTGATGGTAGTGGTAGTAGTTGTAGTACTTGTTGTTGTGGTTGTTGTAGCTGTTGTCGTAGTTGTTGTCGTAGTACTGGTAGTAGTAGTAGTAGTAGTAGTAGTAGTAGTAGTAGTAGCAGCAGTAGCAGTAGCAGTAGCAGTAGCAGTAGCAGTAGCAGTAGCAGTAGCAGTAGCAGTAGCAGTAGCAGTAGCAGTAGCAGTAGCAGTAGCAGTAGCAGTAGCAGTAGCAGTAGCAGTAGCAGTAGCAGTAGCAGTAGCAGTAGCAGTAGCAGTAGCAGCAGTAGCAGTAGCAGCAGCAGTAGCAGCAGCAGTAGCAGCAGCAGTAGCAGCAGCAGTAGCAGCAGCAGTAGCAGCAGCAGTAGCAGCAGCAGCGCGGCAGCAGCAGTAGCAGCAACAGGAGACGCAGCGGCAGCAGCAGCAGTAGCAGCAATGGGGAAACGCAGTGGCAGTAGTAGTAGCAGCAGCAGCAGGAGCAGTCGCAGGAAAAGTAGCAGTAGTTGTTACTGCTGCTGCTGCTGCTGCTATGCAGTAGTGGAAGACTCTCGCCTTGCACGCTCTCTATCTCTCTCTGCCAGGCTTGAAGAAGAGGTGCTCTATTTCTGGCTCTTTCTTTCGCCAGGGCTATACAGAAGGTCTCGCTCTCTCTCTCTCTCTCTCTCGCTCCCTGGCCTGTGAAACTGCGGCCACAGTTCGCTCCCCTGGCTCTGAGGAACTCCTCCTCCAGCCTGGGAGGAGTTTCAAGTACCCTGACTTCACTTCAGTGGCGAGGATGTAGGCTTCATGTTTTTTGCAGAGTTTACGGTTGACGGGTTCTCCCTGTCGCGCGAAGACTCGTCCTTCCAACGAAGTAATTCATGTCCACTTCATGGCTCGCATGAAGACTTACAGAAACCCTCAGCGCCTTCTTGCGAAAGCAGGCAACGAAGAAACCCTCCACGTTGAGTGTGTGAGGCCACACCTGTCGGCACAAAACAGCTCGGCTGCTTCGTGCTCTCGACGTCTGGACCCCGCAGTCGGTGGTCTAGTCAATCTCTATATTCTATTATGATACATATGTATATATATATATGTACATTATATTATATATACACTTACTTAAACCCAACACAGTTCTGAATGCAGGGCATCGCCGGGCCCTGAGGAGGCCATCGGGCGTCTCCAGCTCTGCCAGGCCGAGCCTCGATCGGAGCTCCAAAGCAGAACTTCCTTACCTTTGGCTAGTAGGGAATGGAAGAATGGTAGTAATAGTGGCTAGTAGGAAACGGAAGAATGGTAGTAATAGTAGTTATAAGTTATAATTGTACCCCATTCCTCCATTCCCTACTAACCAAAGGTAAGCTTCGAGATCGCAGCGGCATGCGGTCTGCGCTCCTTCACACTCCTTCTGCTTCACCGGTTGTTGGAGCATCTTCCCTTTTTGAGGGGATCACTCTGGGACGCTGGCTGGCATCCGAGCCCGCTCTGCAGCTCAGCATCGGGGAAGGTGTCCAGCAAGCTTTGGGACCTCTTCCCAGTGAAACCAGTGAAGCACTGCCAAGATGAGGAGACTGTCTTGCAGAACAAGGCGAAAGTTGCATGTAAAACTGCCTCGTTTCCCTGCGTTGCGCTCCTTTGCGACTGCAAGTATCCTCTTCCATAAGCTCAGAAACTACATTCTCAGCTTTGGGATTTGTCATCCTGGCGTCCTTTTCTTCGAGGCGCTCCATGCCTCTGTCCTCCTGCGCCCTCAGCCCGGGGCTGGTTCTCGTTCTCGAAGGCGTTCAGGGTGCAAGTGGAGTACACCTGAGTTCAATGACTGCCCGGCAGTTCATGTGTAGCCGGCGGAAACAACATGATAACATAGCGAATTATCGAACTCTGCTGCACACGTGCACGAAGCGAACTAGCTTGCATTCCCTGTAAGCATCCCACCAGCACACCCCCTGGCCGCAGTGCAACCCAAGCTGAGCGGAGCAGTTCCGACCTCGGCCACACAAAAAGAAATTCCTCGTTTCGTATGCCACTACCGGGAATAGGCGATCTCCTCTGCTTCGGCTATCCTTCCTTCAGCACTGCCCTAGCTAGCAGAGAGAAGCCGGCTCCCCGTGGTAAGGATGAACGTTGAGGCAAATTCGCGCGGAACCGTGGCAGTGACACGTGCACACGCAACCTTTTAAGCACGGCTGCTGCAGCACAGCCGTCGTCTTTCGAGCAGCCCCGACCGTGAGTCTCAGGCTGCACTTGACATTGCGATGCAGCATCTTGCCCGGCCTCAGCCAATGTGCAGCACGGATGAGACGCCACGTCCGATCCTTTCATGACACTGTACTGCCTGGCCTTCTCCTAGAGCTCTATTCTTAAGACTCTTCCGTCAATAGACGTCCACCACACGACTGGCTCGAACTGCCTTTTTTTCGACAATCTCTGCATCTCCGGCTTGGATGGTGCCGAACATTTCTCAGCACCTGTCATCGTCGGCATGACATGATTTCTGGAAGGCAACAGCTTCGACAGATGTCGAAGTAGCCCCATATGGTCGAGAGAAGCGGTCCAGGTCAAAGGAAAATAAGCTGATACTCTGCTCTGCATAGACTCTGCATAGCATCATTCTGCCATCCTGTACACTCAAACCCACACGAAACTCTCACGTAGAAAAACCGCCGACCTCCATATCCAGCAGCTTCTACGTTCCAGCCCCCCGGACATGCTCGGACAGCTGTGCAGCAGGCCGTTGGCCTTTGGCCTGTGCGAAGGCTTCTTTCTGTTATTCCGCCCTGTTGTGTTTGAGCTTTAGGGCCTAATGGCCTGGGCCTCTCCTGTCTAGCGTAATTCGTCTCCTCGCCCTTGTCAGACATCGCCCTCATTTCTGTTCTCTCCTCCTAGCTTTTGGCAGAGGCTTTCTTCCTGCTGTTCGTATTTATAGCACTTCAATCGTGACGACTGTGCTTGCAACTATGAGGATGATGATGATGATGGTGGTGGTGGGGATGGTGATGGTGATGCGGGTGATGACGGTGATGTGGGTGATGAGGAGGATGTGGAGGATGTGGAGGATGAAGATCAGGATTAGGATGAGGACGTGGATGAGGATGATGATGATGATGTGCTGTTTTGAGCTCGGGGTCACCTGTAGCCGATTGGCGGCCAACTGCAGAAAACTGATGCACATACTCTACACTTGTAAGCCGTGCACACAAACCCCGAACAGGGGAGAGCCTGCACGAGCTTGTTCAAGGCTTCTCGGTCCTCTGGGCGCAACTGTCCGCCCATACTGACTCCACACGAACAACACAACAGTCTGCCAACAGCTTCCGAAAGCATGTTTCGCAGCGCACTCACAGGGACAACGTTGTTTTGATTCCAGGAGTACGAGTAGGAGAAGTGGCGGTGGCCGTGGCAGTGGCAGCGACAACAAAAATGGCAGGAGCAGCAGCAGCAGGACTAGTAGTAGCAGCAGTGGTAGCGATAGTGGCAGCTGTAGCAGTAGTAGCAGTAGTAGCAGTGTAGCAGTGTAGCAGCAGTAGCAGTAGTAGCAGTAGTAGCAGTAGTAGCAGTAGCAGTAGCAGTAGCAGTAGCAGTAGCAGTAGCAGTAGTAGCAGTAGTAGCAGTAGTGGCAGTCCTAAGCAGTAGAGCAGCAGTAGTAGCACTAGTAGTAGTAGTAGTAGTAGTAGTAGTAGTAGTAGTAGTAGGAGTAGTAGGAGTAGTAGGAGGAGGAGGGGAGGAGGAGGAGGGGGAAGTAGAAGGAGGAGTAGAAGTGATTGAAAAGCCTCCGTCGCCTTCGCTACAGGTCTCTTAATTGATATTCCGCTGAGGTCTTGCGAGGTATTGGGCAGGCGGGATGGGATAGGCAGAGACCGATGCGGGGAGGCAGGCAGGACCGCAGTGCTCGTGTGGAGAGGGGTTGAGGGGGCGGGTTAAGTTTAGATATACTACCACCCATATGTATGTATATATATATATATATATGGTGTAACTATATATGTATGTTTATGGACGTGGAGATATTTACATGTATAGATATATAGATAAATATATATATATATATATATATATATATATAGATATATATAGATATAGCCGGTCTGGCTTCTCGAGGGTTGAACGCTGAAGGTTTGAAGTTCGATGGACAGCACGAGCCGCTTGGCAGCGTCTCTACAGTCCCGAAAAGTATCGAGGCCAATATGTGTCATTACGGGTGGTTGTCAAAATTATGGTCCCTTTTTGAGTACTCTTAAAAATTAGGCGCCGTACTATATTAGGGACCCAAGAAAGGTACCATACTTTTGACAACCACCCATATGTGACACGATTACAGCCAATAGATGCGACACGGACCGATAGATCAGCCAAGCTCAAGCGCATGTGATAAACAAGCGGACGGATATGGACACTGAGAGAGCGAAAGCGCAGAGAGAGAGAGAGGAGAGAGAGGAGAGAGGGAGAGAGGGAGAGAGAGGAGAGAGAGAGAGAGAGCAGAGAGAGGCAGAGAGAGGCAGAGAGAGGCAGAGAGAGGCAGAGAGAGGCAGAGGCAGAGGCAGAGAGAGGCAGAGAGGCAGAGAGGCAGAGAGAGGCAGAGAGAGGCAGAGGCAGAGAGGCAGAGAGGCAGAGAGGCAGAGAGAGGCAGAGAGAGGCAGAGAGAGGCAGAGAGAGGCAGAGAGAGGCAGAGAGAGGCAGAGAGAGGCAGAGAGAGGCAGAGAGAGGCAGAGGCAGAGGCAGAGAGAGGCAGAGAGAGGCAGAGAGAGGCAGAGAGAGGCAGAGGCAGAGGCAGAGGCAGAGAGGCAGAGGCAGAGGCAGACAGGGGCAGAGGCAGAGAGGCAGAGAGAGGCAGAGAGAGGCAGAGAGAGGCAGAGAGAGGCAGAGAGAGGCAGAGAGAGGCAGAGAGAGGCAGAGAGAGGCAGAGAGAGGCAGAGAGAGGCAGAGAGAGGCAGAGGCAGAGGCAGAGGCAGAGGCAGAGGCAGAGGCAGAGGCAGAGAGGCAGAGAGGCAGAGGCAGAGGCAGAGAGGCAGAGAGGCAGAGAGGCAGAGAGAGGCAGAGGCAGACAGGGGCAGAGGCAGAGGCAGAGAGAGGGAGAGACACTCGCGATATCCTCCCGTCCTTGTCAGCTTTGTCCTGCAACGAACTATGCAAAGTTCCAACAACGAAAGCTAGCACCCCAGGTTGACGGTTCAGGTCGTGAAGGCTCCAGCATTTGCGGTTGAGGCCTAAGGCTTTGGGTAGTCATTCCGGGTGCCACGACCCTGCCCGCTCCGGGAGGCATCCGAAGCAATAACACGACCCACAGATGGGAACCCGACCTAAGTCTCACTGTTTTGAACCCTGAGCCTGGCACCCCCAATCCCACGGCTTGAGAAAACTTCCTGATCCCTGCGGGCACCTGTTCCAGGCCGAGCGTCACCGCTGCGCCGCTCACAATGTCGCCAAGTACACCTGAAAGACAACGCCGAGCGTCTGAGGCTGGCGGCTCTGTATGTCAGCTGCCGAGTCTTAGTCTGCGTCTGGCCTTCGACAACAACCCCGTAAATCCTCTAGCCCTCAAAAGTAACGAAGCCTTTTCTCAGACTCTCAGCGCCCTTTGGTCTTCCGAGGCATCGACTCGCCGTGGAGGCTGCATCCTTGTCGTCCTGTGACTTACATGGGAGGTGAACTGCTAGAGAAACTCAGGAGTCCATGAAGACTCGCCAACATCACCCATCCTGAACCGAAATGCCTGGCTTCAGCCGCCCTCGACAAATGCACATGAATCTTACCTCGCCTACTTTCGGGCGCGATGCTACCTAGTCCGCAGTATGTATCAGCTGTGCGCTTTGTTGTGGCTGGTGAATACATAGTACGGCATTAGCCTAGCGCAGCGCTCCTCCCATGCCTTCAGCTCGTTCTTGGGCTTCACAGGCTGCTTCGGCTTGGCTGGCGAACAGAAGGCAGTGCCACATCAAAGAAGAGGGTGCGCCAAAGAGAGGCGTTCAACAACTGTGACCTAACTACGTGTGTGTCAAGACGAAGGGACAGCACAACGAAAGGCATACATCCCTTTGTCGCAAGTTCCGTAGCATGGATGCATCAAGTGTCGCACGCAAAACAACCATAATTCGTGGCCTTTGGCCGCGGTCTTTGCCCGCTGCTTGCGCTCCTTCACTGATGTCCAGTCATGCTTTCTAGTTTGGCGTCAAGAATATCCTCCGGCCCCTATAGCGGAAATAGAACACTGTCCCTGTATTGTCTTTCACTTGATCATGCGGCGACAAGATATACAGTACTGCAATCTACAAACGTCGGCAGTAGACATAACCATGATGATTCTAGCAGTGGTGGTGATAGTCGTAGTCAGAATCTGTCAGAATAACAGCAATCATAGCAGTGCACCGATAGTAGGAGTATAAATAACGCGGCAATACGAAGGCCAGCAATGAAGGACTCCAAATAATCCAAGTACGCAGTAACCGTTCGTAATCTCTTGGCGCAATGAATGGCATGATAGTAAACATCATGTACCATCAAAGCGGCAACACGCCAATGTGTCACAGTAACGAAAACTATGACAACGTTCCAATGTGTTCTCTGATGCTGCGGCGAGATAAAGATACAATAAGCAGTACGTTTAAAACACTCGCGAAAGGCACAGCATAACCAGATCTCCATCGAGAACACGAACATCAAGCTGCACAGCAAGAAACAAAAGATGACAACCTGCATACAGACAGAAAAGAGATTACGTGGCATCACACATCAAGTCCCAGAGATTCCCAGAGAGAAGACAATCGTGAAATTTACAACAGCCGCAGTGCTCTGGTACTACTACACAACTAATACTGATATTGCTCCGAATTGGTAAGGCTGAGTGCTATCAGCCTACAGAAGACTGTGAAAATGGTACCGCACAATTGGGACGTGTACCCTTTGGACCCATGACAGAGCAAATGATAAAACAAGCAGAAAAGCAGACATAGCAACAGAAGAGCGTATTGGGGTAGTAGCACATCATGCTAAATACCTCGCAGAACATCAGGGTACGGCTTAAATCTAGGTGTAAACCACACCTTAATAGTGTTAATACAGCTCGTCTAACATAGACATGACAGGATCAGAAGTAGAATGTAGTATGGAGGCATGCGGCGTACGGCAAAGATTGGGGACGGAGAGCAGTGGAATAGAGGAGTAAGCAAAGGAGCGCGAAGACAAAGCAGCAGACCAGTGTAAGCACGTACCAGAACAAACTGGATGATTCTATGATGGCATGAGGACGTTGTAGTAAGCTAGAGAGTTAAGAAAAACCA